TCGAAGGGACACAACCTTTTTGACAATTTGAGTAACAGGGAAAATCCCGCTGTTGAGCATAACGTTGGGAACTTCCATCCAGTCAGAACACTGGTAATAATTGTTACTGTAACAATAACAATAAAGTGCATGCACTTGTCGTGCAGGAAAGCACTTGGCAGCATCTTGCGTTTGATGCTACTGCGTACAAACAACATGAATGTTTCAGGAATGAGAGCAACACGTAAGATAGAACAAGTAGTTAGTGTGGTACCTACTTGACTGTACTGCCTATCGCCCCTGCAGGCCTGATGTTGCTGCATTCAAGAATAGACACAGTGACGGTAACAGCATCGTAATTGAGCACTTGACCTGCCACATTTCAGGACTTCCGCGTGTTGCCATCCAGCTTTGTTCTTGTGTGGCCATATGAGGAGGAATTGCGACGGCCATAAACAATTTCGGGGGAAAGCGCTGAAGTGGATGGAATCCCCCAAAGTCAAGATTAGCTCGATGCTGTGATCCTTTGCCCTTACTCCGGTGGCTTGGACTCTTGGCCCAGCCATAGCATACACATGTACTTACTCAACTGACAGCCGCAGTTTGGAGTTATCATTGTGTACAGATTGTCAAGTTCCTTTTTCTTTTTCTTTAAAAAAATTTGTTTTGCTTTTTTATTAGTTGCTGTGCCACGCCAGTGATATCATGTTGTGTAATTGTCTGTATAGGAGGCTTTCTCACACTATTGTCGTACTGACAGCAGCAGAGAAACCAAAGAAGACCATGCACTCAAAAACTTCCTCCTAAAGTGAGCAACGCTTCAGATGATCCGCCTCTGCCTGGACGGCATTTACGCATTCAGATGCCGCGGATGACACAGCAGGATCATTTGACCTGCCAACTTTGATAGTACAGATCCGAGTGAGACTGACAATTTGGTAAATATTATAATGCGTGTCCTGGAAAGCTCTAGCTCTCCGCCTTTCAATATAATGGCGAACTTAACTTTAAAAAGTCACGGCTTTGGGTGAGACTCAGTCAGACCAAGTTTTCTACATCCGCATGAACGCCACCGCCCTCAAGAATCATCTCCATACAGCTCATTTAATTGCGGTTGGATGTGAGTAGATCAGACCCACCATACAGTAGTCAAAAGTCGAATATCCCGTCCGCTGCAGGCATGCTAGCATACCCTTGATCCCCACCCATAACAACAGCCTTTGATTAGGGAACCAGGGAAATAGTTTCATACATGGAGAAAGGAAAAGAACATAATATAGTTACGAGTTGAGAGTAACTATCCACCACTGTGACTGTGACTGGATACTATAATTATACAGTCAGAAAGTCAGAAAGTGCTCCAACTAGGCACAAAACTAACACCTCGCCTAGCTTACTTGTTGCACTTTCTGACTCTATTATAGTTTCTATTTCCGTCTGATGATCGATTCAGTTCGTGAAACTCAGAGTTACGAAAATACACCTGCTCATTCTTCTCACTGTGTAGTATCTAGTTACAGTGGTGGACAGTTACTCCTAACTCTTACCCATGCAGTAAAACCTGGTTTAAGCGACTAGACCACGGTGCAAGGAATAGCGGTCGTTAAAGCCAGGTGGTCTTTAGAACCAGGTCCCACAGTGTCTGTGCAGTACTGTCGGTGCATGGAAAAACGATCGTTAAGAGCAGGTGGTCGCTAAACACAGAGGTCGCTTACATCAGGTTTTACTGTATGTTCATTTCTTTTCTCTTTCGAACTTTGTCATTCCCTCAACATCCGAGTTCAACACATGGAGACGTTGGTAGAAGGGATCAAAGAAATAACATGGGAATGCTCACTGTTCGCAGCGCTCCAGCTAGCGCTATTTCGCCCTACTTGCGTTGGCACTCATCTGATTCATGACTGCAACCTAGAGCCCTCTATAGAAGTCCAGTAAATCTTCAGTTTGCTGGTAGGTCGAACGCTGCAGGCCACCAACTTTTTTTATTGTTACTGCCGACACCACTGCCACTAATACACGTACGTTCTGTTGTGCTCAGCGCGGGGCTACGAATAGGTAATATGAAGCTGACAATGATGCGAATGACCAACTCAACGCCTGTTCGACACACTCACCCACTTATGTTGCTGCCTGGTTTTCACAAGATGCTTGAAGCGCTGGAATCGGCAAGGTGACATCTTTAGCGAGGGCAAGCCTGGCGAGCACCAAAACTGTGGTTATCCTGAGCCAAACATTCCAGCAGCTTTATCGAACTCAGCTCATGAGGGGTTACTGTCCCCCAGACAATGTGTTCTGGACAAGGAATGGTACTTTCGTGCAGATATTCGAGTAGTACGTACAGTGTAATTCTTGTGTTGACTATCATGAGTCGGTCAATTGGAGCACAGGGTGATTGGGTTTCTTCTGAAAACAATTCTGCTCGGAACCCAACAGATTGTTAGTACATGTACATGTACATGCAACTGCTGGAGCTCTATGTATGCCATTTTCACGAATGCCTCCGTGTGACATCTAGCACTGCTGCAGTAGCATTCCATACTATGTGATTCATGTATTTTGCGTTCGTGCTTTAAATTTTATGTATTCACCAGAGTAGGTAGAATGTACTTAAGGGGGCACATCACCCAAAAATTCGCTGAAAAATCGAATTTGTAAATTCATATTGAGTGCTACGTCAGTTGAAAGAGCATGAATAGCTGCAAATTCTCTGAAAACTGTGTCCCTATCTGACCAGCCGTTCAAGAGTTATGGCCGAAAATGTGCCGTTGCAAGGAAAGATTTTTTTGTTGCATGCTGTCATTTGTTGGCAGCACTGTATTTGAATGTGAGCAGACCGTGCGCAACTTGTCGTATTATGGAAACACGCGAAAGTGTGCAGAATTTTGCCCCAAGTCCAAAAAAGTCCGAGAGAACGCCCACTCGTTCCGTTGTGACAGATTCCAGGGCCACGTTGAGGGGCCCTACCCCACCACCCATGGCTGCTTCTGGACTTGTTTTAGGTTTGGGTCCCGCGCACGGACAGAATGGGCACGAAAATGTGAAAAAAATGTAAATGCATTTGTTTGGCTCCTGGGTGGCTCGCACACCGTAGCACTATGCCGGAAGTTTGAGTTTTTCCGGCCTGGAAAGCCTGTCAGTGAGGCGCAAGAACTTGTAAATCATGTCCTGAGGGCCAGCATAGTGGCAGGAGTGTGTGGTCAAAATTTCACTCAAATCCACTGAGAAACACCAAAGTTACGGTCAATTGAATGCCATATGAAATTTTTGGGTGATGTGCCCCCTTAAAGCCGCGGCACATCCAGGCGATATTGCCTTCTTTAATTTAATTAATAAAATAATGTGAAAAACGTTTTTAAAATACATGTGCGAGACTTAGATGATGCAAAAATGGGGTATGGGCGGAAGGAACAAGGAACTCGGTGATAAAATGTAAAAAGAGAAGAAACACATGAGAACGAGTTATGCAGCAACTATCCACGACTGTAACAAGATGATAAACGGTCAGAAAGTGCAATAATGGGGCACAAAACTGACAGGATACTGAGACATTCAACGACCCGAGACCTAGCTCTAACAGATCTCCAGTGCGCAAACCAACAGCCTTCCAACTTGGAAGGTTCATGGTTACGTACCGTTTATCATCTTGTTACAGTCGTGGATAGTTGCTGCATAACTCGTTCTCATGTGTTTCTTCTCTTTTTTACATTTTATTTCTGGCTCAGTATCCGAGTTTAAACTCTGTGATACGTTACGTTTAGCATTATATAACCCGAACACTCAACGATCGGATAAGTATGTATGGTATATGCAGGGTTTTCCAACATGTACAGGTACTTCAGTGCTATTCGAGGCAAATCGTAGGTTACATTATAGAGAGCGATATGTCAGTATGAAGAATTATACTGACATTTCGCTCTCGATATCTTCTAGACTGTAAAAGTGCTGCCCTTAATGTATATGACGGGTCCTACACTGATCTATGACAGGCCATATGGTAGAATCTATAGGTCAAAAGGTGGTGGTGCTGATGGTACCGGTGGTGGTCATGCTGGTGCCAGTGGTGGTGCTCATGCTGGTGGTGCTCGTGCTGGTGGTGCTCGTGCTGGTGGTGCTCGTGCTGGTGGTGCTCTTGCTGGTGGTGCTCGTGCTGGTGGTGCTCGTGCTGGTGGTGCTCGTGCTGGTGGTGCTCTTGCTGGTGGTGCTTGTGCTGGTGGTGCTCGTGCTGGTGGTGCTCGTGCTGGTGGTGCTCGTGCTGGTGGTGCTCGTGCTGGTGGCTGTGGTATACTCAAAAGCCTCTATTAAGGGCAACAAAACACAATTTTCCAAGATGAAGGCTGGTGGCTGTGGTCCTGGTGATGCCGGTGGTGGTGCCGGTGGTGGTGCCGGTGGTGGTGCCGGTGGTGGTGCCGGTGGTGATCGTAGTGATGGTGTTGGTGGAGTGGATGGTGGTGCTGCTGCTGCTTGTGTTTCTGGAGGTGGTTACAGTGAGTATCGTTTATAAAGTGACCGGGTGTAACGATATACCGGCTATAATGATCGAACTCGCCAAAATCAAAATCAAATCACAAGAAATACAGCTAAAATATCACTATACACACTATTATCGGCTATACCGATATATCGCTTATTGTGATGGGCTTCAGGAAGCAAACCATATCAAATGCACAGGAAAATATCGTATATTATACTGATCAAGAGTGATGATCACAAAACAATTGTTCCTCAAATTTAGTTCATTTCTTCCAAAACTGATGCAGTGTTGCCTGGATGCATCTGGCAGCAGACGTGATTGAGAGAAAATTCTTCCCTGTATGCTGTAAGCAGCCACATGTACACGTGGCTGCTTTTCATGCATTTTCCAGCGTGTACGCATCATTTCATGCACAGTCATGTGCCATGTGTCAGTCATACATGCAAATCGGCTGTAGTGATGCACCGGATATAGTGAAACATTATCGAAAATCAAAGGGGCACGTTATATCCACTATTTACTGTACCTCTGTGGTGGCGGTTGTAGTGGTCATGCCTAATGTTGTGTTAATAGGGATGTTGGTGATGGTGGCGTTGGTGGTGATGTTGGCGGTTGTGGCGATGGTGGAGATATTGGTCGTGGTTGCAGTGGTGGTGAAATTGCAGGTGACTCAGATGTCCATGGCGGTAGTGTTGGTGTTGCTATTGGTGTATATGGTGATGCTGGCGGTGGTAGCCTGGGTCGTGTCGTATCAACGCGTTCACCAATGCCTTGATTAGCAGCCACCATTATCTCATTTATGTGGCCTTCAGGATGTTCGTTTTGCACACTTTCATACGAGTGGTTGGTGGTGTCGGATATGAATACTTTCTGGTTGCTTTGATGGGCCGTCGTATAATGTGATGTAGAATTTGACACGCGTGTGAGATGTAGTGACGTCATTCCGTAACACTCCACATCGTCTGCCTCCACGGCTTCAGCATAGATCAAATGATTACCTGTACCGGGCGCATCTGTAACATCACCGGCGTCTTCGGGTATGACGTCACTCGATCCTTGCAGCTGAGAGCGAGAAGGGTTGCAGTCAGGAAGGAGTAGGTCTGCTGGGGCGGGTGGAGATCCAGCTGAGCTGTCAGTGGCAACGCCTGTACCTGGGGCATCTGTTACATTATCAGTACCTTCAGGCATGACGTAATTTGACCTGTGCATGGAAGGTTGCGGCTGAGAGTTAGAGGTGTACCTGTCAGGAGGTGATAGTTGTGCCGGAGCAGGTGGAGATTCAGTTGAGTTGTTAGTGGCGACACCCTCACGCTCACGTCCCTTCCGTCTGACGATCCTTCTCCAAATAAAGAGAAGGCAGATTGCGCCGAGTATGGCTGCGATGCTGCACGCCACCGCTATAATGATGATCTTTGTCTTGCCATCATCTGATCCTGAATCAACAGGCAATCGAGAGCGGAGGAAAGATAAATGCGGAGAAACGCAAGAACACGCAGAGATTAGTTGGCGTGAAAAGCAACTACCCACCATTGTCAGTATACATTGTAGTTTACGAAAGGGTGACAGACAGAGAAAGACAGATACACACAGACAGAGAGACAGACAGATACAGACAGAGGGATAGAGATGGAGAGACAGACTGACATACAGCCAGACAGAAAGAGAGACAGAGAGACAGACAGACAGACAGACAGACAGACAGACTGACTGACTGACTGACTGACAGACAGACAGACAGACAGACAGACAGACAGACAGACAGAGGCTGAGGCAGTGCGAGATATAAAAAGAGAGAGCACAACATTTTCTCCTGAATCTCACCTTGTATATCCTTGCAGAACATTCCTTGATAGGGTGCCGAACATACACAAACCAGCGGCGCGAAGTCTCCCTCTAAGCCTCCTGTGCACACTCCAGCATTTTGACATGGATTTGGATCACACATGTCCGTTCCATTTGGGATCTCTGCGCAGACAACCAGCGAAACCGACATGCATACATGTACTGAGAGCATACCAAGAGCATGAATAGTAGCGGTACGTTAGCCTGTGACATTCTTGGCAGAGACCCGTACCTCTACTGTATTACTGAGATGCAAGATCATTTTACCTACTAGGTGGGCCATGTAGGACATGTAGATATTTATGGTATGCATTTTACAGTATTTTGCAGGGAAAGTGGATGCTTCGAATGCTAAAATAGGATCTACATAGACCAAGGAATAGACCGAGGCTCCCCGACTATGAAGTCTAGAATCTAATAAGAATTATCGTCTTCCTTATGAACGAGTCAAATGTAAGCAGTCGACTAGATCGCACTTTCAGTAATCAAAATACCAAAAGGAAAAAGAAGATGACGGTGATGTCTTGAGGTTTCTTGCAGCTGCAGCTAGGCCTGGGCGGATAATGCTAGCTATTTTGCGGGGTAATGCGAATGGCAGTGCCAGAAAAACTGTATCATAATGCTACTTATAATGCTGCTGTTCCTCTGTAATGCCAGCAATTTACCAGTACTAAGTATGGAAAAATGGCTTGGTTTGGGCAGTATGTGCACGTTTCGTGGAAAATGCTAGAAAATCATGATCATAATGCTACTAATTTTATGCTTCTATTGCTCCATAATGCCAGCAAAACCGCAATAGTATGCATGGAAAATGGCTTAGTTTGGACAATCCTATGCAGGTTGTGCAGTTCTATGTACAAGGCATGTAACGGTCCATGCACTAATGCTAAGTGACTGTACAAACATCAGCTGCTACCACCCCACATTTGATTTGGAGTGGACAAAACTTCCAAAACTGAGTATAATGCCACCTTTGTAGAAATGTAGTGTTATAATGCTAGCATAATGATCGTTGCAAATCGCACACTATAATGCTACTTATAATGCTAGCATTATCCGCCCAGGCCTAGCTGCAGCCTCATCTGGTAAGAATGGGAAATGCCTAGAGAGACATCATTGTTGCTCTACGTGGACAATGGGCAAATGCAAAATACAAAAATACAACTGAGTGAAGTACCTTGGCACATATTCCCGGTCAAGGGAACAATGCAAGTGCACCGAAATCCTGTCGCCGTCTCGGAGCAAATCCCTTCGTACATACACGGGTTTGGAAAACAATGGCTTACTGGAGAACAAACGAGACAAGTACAGAAGGATTCAGATAAACCCTGTCAAAAAAAGTCTCAAGTTTTTTTGTCATTTGTGCCAAGGCATAATTATGCGGATAATGTCGGCAGAAAAATTGGCAGAATTCGGTACTTTTTCTGGTAAGTTACATGCATGTTTGGTATGTGGATAAAGAAATGGAGCAGAATTCAAGGAATTGCCTGCCATAAGTTTTGTATGGTTCTGCCAATTTCACTGCTTTGCGAGCAGAATCTGCCACCTTTTCGAGCATTATACGCCAAAAATGTTTATTTGTGCCCGTCATCTCTAAAATAAGCACTACATCACTTCAGTAATATTGCGTGGATAATTCTAAAATATACTGAGAAAATGGACACACTTCAGGCCTCTTGAAAGTTTTCAATTTCACTACAAAAGTAGTATACTTTCAAGCCTTATCGTCAGGTGAAATACAGGCCAATCAAATGAACATGGACAATGGATTGAGTGGAGTAGAGAGGTTGCTAAAATAATAACAACGACGAATGAGAGTCATATCCACTTCGAACGAAATAGGGAAACGGTGAAAGTATGAGGAAACCTACCAAACGTTTCCCCATTTCGTTCAATGTGTTCTACTTACCCAAAGACAAACTGTTGTTCGGTGGAACGTCGCACACACGGCCAGAATAACCAGATGAACATGCGCACATAAAATCTCCTCCCAGGAGCCGGACGCAGGTACCGCCATTCAGGCATGGGTTAGTCGGACAAACCGGACTGGCATCTGTACGCCGGAGCAAGCATAACAACGATGACACCAACGACAACATTGACAATAAAGGCAAGCGCCCATGGCAACACCCTAGTTGTCAGCCCCTCAGCTCATTTACCTTTAACAGGTTCGTCTTATCGCAGCGCTGAATGCTGTTGCTTTTTTGTGTGCTCCGTGTGCGGCTGGTTGGGTTCTTTTCATTTGCTTTTAGTTCTTTTCGTTTTTTCGGGGTTTATTTGCATTTAACGTTGGGTTTAGCTGCATTTAGCACCGCTTTAGTAGCTGCATCTGCGCCTTGATCCTTGAAGGGTGGTGATGTTCCTACGGATGCGGAAAACTCGGCCTCTAGCCGAGTCTGACGCGAACCGTGAAAAAAATGAAATCAGTTGCATTTTAACTCGGATACGTTCTCATGTGTTTCTTCAGTTGCATTTCCTATTCATTGATTATGATGGTATTTTTGCCCGTAAAAGAGGCTTAAGTTGTCAGTCCCTGGCTTGAGTTGTCAGTCCCTGGCTTGAGTTGTCAGCCCCTGGCTTGAGTTGTTAGTCCCTGGCTTGAGTTGTCAGTCCCTGGCTTGAGTTGTCAGTCCCTGGCTTGAGTTGTCAGTCCCTGGCTTGAGTTGTCAGTCCCTGGTTTGAGTTGTCAGTCCCTGGTTTGAATTGTCAGTCCCTGGCTTGAGTTGTCAGTCCCTGGCTTGAGTTGTCAGTCCCTGGCTTGAGTTGTCAGTCCCTGGCTTGAGTTGTCAGTCCCTGGCTTGAGTTGTCAGCCCCTGGCTTGAGTTGTCAGTCCCTGGCTTGAGTTGTCAGCCCCTGGCACCTTCTCTGCCACAGGATAGTTCTACCTCTTCTCCTTCTTTTTTTCCTTATTTACATTCGCTGGTCGCAGTCGCTGTCATGTTATTGGGCTTGTAAATATAATCAAACCCACAATGCCATCATGCAGCAATAAGAAATATCGCGCCAAAGCAACCGACAGCTGTCACAGGCCAAATGAAAATACAGTACCAAACTCATTGAGGAAGGTCAGAATTGTGACTACAGGCAGAAGGAATCTCATCTTGCTCAAGGGACTCGAATCTATGATGCTGGTATAAGAGCTATAGCATGGCGTAGCATTGTTGAGTCATACAATTCTGATGATCCACAACGGACCACGAGACAGTGCAGCCACATACCCATGATGGGAAAGTCGCAAGTCGTTCCCATCATATCCATACTATGAACTGGATGGTGGGGGGGGGGGGGTAGTGTGAAACCGTGGCAACTTACTTTAAAGTTTGAACTGATATACTAGTACATGCAGTGGACAAAGAGAGCATGCGTGGTCATTTTATCCACTCCACACTACAATACAATGTAACCACAGTCCATTCATCGGAAACTGTCCCGCTGGTTTTTGAAAGTCCGATTTGGGCCGAATTGAGGATCAAAACTCACAAGTTGTACAATGTACTGTTGAGATACCGAATTCAAATAAATCAATACCATACCAATACCATACTTTAAATCTCAAAAATCTGGGTTTTGGATCTGCTCCTCCATACATTTTGCTATGGTATACCTGTCCCAATTTTGTAAAACCTGGCTGAATTTCTATTTCCCTGTTCTTCGACTTTTCTGGCCTCAAATGTGGCAAGGAGTAATTGCACGGGTCACACAATGCAGGATGTACTGTTGTTTTCACAATATCTATAACTATGCGCAGGAGACACCAAAGAGTTAGGGTGCCAGTTTCCAATGAATGGACTGTACACTGCTGGCAACTGAAATCCGACCCCTGGGCAGTGCGCTCACATCGCAAAGACCCAACACAGGATAGTAAAACTACGAAACAGAGGCCGCTAGAATGTGAACGCATCGTTCATGCGCCGTATTTTAGTTGCCAGCACTGTATAACTGCGACCTGGGGCTGATCATAGGTTGCCGCTGACCTTACCTAGCACGTTGATTTCACATCGTTCACCGTCCGTGTAGGGAAAGCTTGAGCAATAACAGCTTGGGCCTGAGGTTGCATTCAGACATTGTCCTCCGTTTAGACATGGGTTGGGTTCACATCCACTTGTCTGTGACGTCACAATCGGCCCTACATAGATTGTAAGCACGAACAAATTGCCAGGTTTTTCTTGCCCCCTTCTGTTCAAAATATGTTTAATTGTTGAGCTTCCCAATGACTGTAGCTTTTGCCTGTGTTCATGCTTGATCAGCTAGTTTTTATTATAAGCCACGCTTCTCGCAGTAAGTGGGCTTCGACGAAATAATCCACTGAAATGCTGACCGACTGACACTTGACTGACTCACGGTTGCCCTCCGAGTGGAGCACGGGAGAAGAATGGACGTCTACGCCGCACACCTACAAGAAAGCACCATCTCTACTTAATACACAGTGTTTTGTGAGCACCATTTCTCTTCTTCTTCTTTTTTTAAATAATGCTCTCCAGGTACAAACATCACCAGGGATACAAACTTACAGAGACGCTCTGCTTCCAGTTTGACAAGCACCTCAGGAGCACCAGCCTGCAGCCCAAAAACACTGTGTGTTGAGCAGGGAGGGAGTCGTGCTTTCTTCCAGGTTGGCCGAGTGGCCGGCCCGGCATTTTTCTTGCGTGCTCCAGACGGCATTCGTGAGTCAGTCAAGAGCAGGGAGTAGTAAAATACAGGGAGGTGACACGCCACTAATCGTGATTTTTGATGGGTGCCTCGCGCTTGTTTTTTTTCTTTCGCAAAAAAAGATGATCTGCTGAATCAATCTTGAGTATTTGTCGAAGAACTAATTCCGTGAAAAGGTCTATCCATCTCATGGAACAGCATTTGTTTTGCTCTTGTGATACATCTGTGTCATCGTCATATGGAAAGGTACCACCCTTCCGAAATTCGTCCCGATCGACGGCATGGAGCAATAGAACGAAGGTGATTTCCTTGTGAACAATACGTATACGATTGGAGATGAAAAGCGAGTGCACCGATTTCGAAGTCGAAAAAATCTCTAGGACACCACACGATCGGCACTAATTTCTCCTCAGTTGTGATCAACCAGTACTTCTCTACCTTCTTTGTGATGATGAGCATTTCATATTATGGTATGCTAGAGATTCTGGAGTTCACTTTTCGGAATGAAATGTTCCTAAGTTTGTCAAGAATTGAAATGCGGGCTACGTCGTCGTAAACAGCTTGTATCGACACAGGAAAAATCTACGGCACGCAGGGATATCTCCCAAAGTGATACCACTCTTGCTGGACTTCCATCCTGACGTAGTGGTAATTATTTGGTCGACCACCAAACTTTGTGAAGGCAGACAATTGTTGGAAATTCTCAGCGCTGAGTTTCTACGGGCTACAGTAGGAGTCTCTTTGGCGGTAGGTATTTTACTACTCCCTGATCGAGAGAATCCTGATCCGCGCGCGTGTCTACACACTTCGGTACCCATAGTACCCCAATCTCACCCGCCGGGTGAAAACGGTGCTGAGGCAATCGTCAAACTGGCTGTACATGCTCGTGTCACCTCCCTGTATTTTACTACTCCCTGGTCAAGAGCCATACATGTACATGTACTGAAGCATGTGCATGTATGCATGAGCCTTTTCTTTTGATGAAATTCAGTCGTCACTGAAGATTTCCAACTTTAAAAAAAACCTTTAAAAGAAGAAAAGAAACACACGGATTCGAGCTAAGAGTAACTGTCCACCGCTGCAAATACATGCACATGTATATAGTCAGAAAGTGCAACAACTAGGCACAAAACTCACAGAGTGATGAGACATTCAACGGCTTGAAACCTAGCTCCAACACATTTCTGAAACGCTAACCAACAGCTTACTAAACACTCAATGAGGTCTTCTGATTATAATAACAATGAGTGTATCTAATATCAGTGATGCACAAAGGCACACAATGAGTTTGTCTGATGATTGGTTCAGCCATGACACTCTGAGTCACAAGGGAATTTACTCAAGCTTTTCATTGTGTGCATTTGTGTACGCCGCTCTGCTCTGCCTGGATCAGGTATTGAGCACTTTCGCAGAACCTAAGCACACTGCCTCTGTGTAATAGCAGTGATGGACAGTTACTCTTAACATTAATCTATATTGTACGTAGCCTTTTCCTTGCTACTAGCATATTACATTAATTTTTTTATTATTGGCTCATATTGCTCAACATCCAAGATACGATTGTCATTGATATTGATAGTCAGAGCCTTGGGGCGAGTTTTACATATACTTGATTGTACATGTATTTGTGTGGAAGAAACATGGATGCGAGAGAAAATTATTGGAAGTGACTGCCCTACATTTGACCGCAGCCATGTGTGTGTCTGTGAATGAGAGTGACACATGTATGTGTGATTGTGTACGCGCGTACATGTGTGCTCGTTTATGCTTTATGCATCTGAGGGTGCGTGTGTGTGCGTGCTTGTATCAGTACATGTTTGTGTGACCGCGTACGTACGTGTGCATGACATGTATATTTTGTCGGTGTGTTTGCGTGTATGGCGTATCGCTTACCGTCTGTTGTCGTTGCTATGGAGAAATTGACCTGCGGAGCTAAGCCAATCAGCAGGAGCTCCAGGTGTGTGGGTATGCTTAGCAATAGGGTTACATGCACAAAGATGCTTAGTACAGGCCATTCTCGAAATACCTGTAGGTTCATTCTGCCAGCCACGCTGAAGGCTACCCAAGCACGCGCTGAGGAGACGTGAGAAACCCTCTGCCGAAAATGAATGGACTCCACTACCAGCCACTGTCTCTGAGCCTCCTCTGCTTGCGATCTCTATACACCGGCTTTGGCTGGTAATATGCTAAATATACAGTATCCTCATCCACTGCAGATGTCGTTCAGGACAACGAAGAGTCTGGGAACGTCTTGTGTAACGTACTCCCTTGGTCACTGCATACCACTCTGGGTTCTAATATTAAAACAATTCTTTCAAATGTAAAGCTGGGAGGATGTAGACTGAGCGCACATGCCTGCCAGTTCCAAACTTTTTATTTCGACTGTACTCAGTCTGCGGACAGCATGCTGTTTCGTTCTTTGGGAACTCACTCAATCGCTCGACTGTATGTTTGAGAGAAAAGAGACATCTCCACATGTACATGTACATGGAGACTTGTGGAAGGGTTCATGAAGTCTAGATGATGCCATACTCCCCATAGACATAGTAGCTCTGCTGGTGAACAACATGTCGGAGGCACACGTATTTAGTGATACTATTGTGTCAAGTAATACATTGTATACATCCTGGATATGTGCATGACACATATACAATGCAATCAGCCAGGCAGACTGTGCCACTGACAGCAAAACTGGGCAACGTAGGTCTACGGTACATTGCAGCTGTGAGCAGGGTACCGGGTAGAGTATGCTGTGTGCATGTTAATGTACATGTACATGTACATGATTGCAGTGGTGCAACATGCGAGCATTCCGAGCATTCCTTGCTCGGAGAGGCATTGCACTGGACAAGCTACCAGGAGTGCGGCCAATCGGAGTGGGTGAATGCAGGCAGCGCATTGAGGCAAAGGCCATGGCACTTGCTACGGGAATTGATGTCCAGGAGGTCTGTGGGGCTGACCAGCTATGCTCGGGTGCAAAAGCTGGAATTGAGGCAGCAGTTCATGCTATGAGCGACGTTTTCACCGAGGATGACACCGAAGGACTCTCTGGCCGAGATGCGCCAGGGTTCTATTCAACGCCTACCGTGGGTACGCTGTGATCATCTTGAAAGGTTCCTGTACATCTGATGTCCATACCGGGAATGATGATGAATCTTCTTGTGCGGGACGGTTGCGCAACATCAGGAAGTGGCTCGACCGCCTTATCGATCAGGGTGAAGCTTTCGGATACCAAGTTGAGCCGACAAAGAGTATCATTATTGTTTCCCCGGATCTCGTTCAGCAAGCTAAGGATGTCTTTGGGGATCTGAACATTCAAGTAGCCACATCCGCCCGTTTCCTAGGAGGCTGTATCGGTGAACCTGACGGAGTGAAATCGTTTGGCAAGGAGAGAGTGGAGACGTGGGTGAGCAGTGTCAATTGCCTTGCCACTGCTGCCAGGAAATACCCCCAGTCGGCGTATTGTGCTTTGAATCGCTCGCTCTCATGTGAGTGGTCATACCTCCAGCGTGTTGTCCAGGGTCTTGAAGAGGAGTTTGCTCTGCTTCGAGACGTCATCCTGGAGCCATTTGCCCCAGCCATCCTTGGGCGGGAGGTTCTTCCTCGGCAACACCAGCTCCTCACCCTGCCAGTCAAGTATGGTGGCTTGGCTTTGGCCGATCCTGTCCACACAGCACCCCAGGCTTACCAGAATTCGAGAAACGCAACTGACATCCTGCGCAACTCCATCCAATCTGGTAACCCCGTAAACATAAATGATCACAGCGCTCACTGTCGCCGCATCACAAGCCAAAACAGCAGGGAACGAGATGTGATTTCCGCTGAAATCAGCCAATCAATTCTCAGTAACCTGCCACAGCTTGAGGAGCGCCCCCTCTCACGCATCGTGCGGGGAAATGCCTCCGGATGGCTTACGGTGTTGCCCCTGAAGCGCGAGGAGTATGATCTGTCGAGTACAGAATTCCGCGATCAACTTGCCATCCGCTATGGTCGGCAGCCGCTTGCCCTGCCAGCGCAATGTGATGGTTGCGGGAAGCCCTTCTCTCTTCAGCATGGCCTTGACTGCCCGAAAGGTGGACTTATCAAGCGAGGCCACAATGATCTGCGTGATAGCGATGCAAAGCTAGCTGATATGGCATTCGGTGGTGTTGTCGTCGAGCCGATCATGGTGCTGGAGGGTGATCGGATGGGGCAGCCTGCTCTTCGGGCAGATTGGCTTGCCCAGGGTGTGTGGGAGGATAACAGGGTGGCGTTTTTTGATAATCGCATCATTGATGCCAACGCACCTAGCTACTCCCATTCATTCTGGGAAGCTACTTCCAACCGCGCTGCTAACGCGAAGAAAAAGAAGTATCGTCAGGCCTCCGAGGACCTCCGTGGGTCGTTCACACCACTGGTTTGTTCCACGGATGGGGTGCTACATCGCAAATACGCCAGCTATCAGAAGCGACTTGCCGGTCGCCTCGCCCTCAAGTGGGACAAGCCATTTTCAATCATCATGGCTTGGGTGCGAGTTCGCAGCCAATTTGCAGTGATCCATGCAGTCGACCTCCGGCTACGCGGGTCTAGAAGGCGCCTGACAGGCCTGTCGACGCAGGATGGTGCTGGGGTAGGCATCGGCCATTGAGAACTGAATTTCGTCTGTTTTACATGGAATTTCTTGGAGTTTCCCAATGTATTGTACTTGAATAAAATTCTATTTTACCTTTCATGGTATCTCAATTTTGTTTTCACGTCTACATAACTTTATTTTGCCCGTAAAAGAGGCCGTTTACCCTAAAAAAAAAAGTGGTGTACAGACACGTACATGTCACATTGCAAGTAGGGGAAGTCCCAGCTGTGCCATCTACTTATAATACCGGTACTGTAAAAGCCATTATTCTAACGAGGCGCATATACATGTATAACGATTTCCCAAAAATGACTAGTTTACGTGTACCAAAGGTAACGATTCTGTCTCATTCTCAACGCTCAATAGGACAGTATAATTATGTATCGATTTCTGTATAACGATTTCTATTTTAACGACAGATTTCTCCTCGTTAACTCGTTAGAGTTAGCACTTCGTTATGTATATGGCTTTTACAGTACTACAAAATTACAAAATATTACACAGCAATGAGTGAAACAAGTCTCTTTCCGCTGTTACTCGGAGTTTCGTGTGAAAACACTCATCAACAGCATAATTACAACGAAGAGTAACAATCACTAGAAGAGGGCAGAGGTGATGGAGGTACATTTCAATTTTATTTCACTTTTAATACTATTCATTGCATTCCCAACTCATCACAACCACGCACTCTTCAGCCGAACCATACAGACAACAGCAAGGACACTTCCGTTGAGAGATAATATTGCTCCACGCCTCTAGACAGCTGTCTCGCTCCCTGTCGGAGCTCATCAGTAGAGGATGATAATGATGATAATGGAGGAATGATCATTCTTATACACCAGAAATGGCGCACGTGCACGCTTTCCACATAATGCAAGCTGCTAAAATGGTAAAGTGTGAGAACAGCGATAAATAATCATAGTACGCGCTCATGGATTCACACCGACCTGTCCGCCCGTCAACAGGATCGACAGCGGGAGGCCCCACTGATGCCGATGTCGATGCACACCAGGAAACTTGTACTAGTTGTAGTCGTGAGTGTGATACCAACAGGTCTAGCAGCAACCACTGACACACGAAAGGCCAGCTGGGGCATTCACTCCAGTCAGGGATGCTTGGTCGACGCTTCGTATCAGCAGCTCAGCTCAGTTTGATCAAACAAAGATGTTGCAGATGTGTCTTGCTTTTCCCCTTCCTTCTTCACCGACTCGTCTAACAGGTCTAGTAGCAACCACTGACACACGAGAGGCCAGTATCACACTCACGACTACAAGTTTCCTGGTGTGCATCGACATCGGCATCAGTGGGGCCTCCCGCTGTCGATCCTGTTGACGGGCGGACAGGTCGGCGTGAATCCTGAACGGCAACCGAGCCTGTCGCGTTGGGGGATCTCGGCGGTGAGTCTCACCTCGCCTGCATACATGGACATTGCAACATCATAATAATAAACAACATACATGTACTTTCCATTGGCATCAGTATTCCGCGTAAGATTTTCGACGCCTGTGTGGTGTGTTTCTCCACCAATGAGCGCGTACTATGATTATTAATCGCTGTTCTCACACTTTACCATTATTTTTAGCAGCTTGCATATGCCATTGATACACAAGAGAGAGTTTGGAAGCTTTGTCACAACTCCGAGTTTCACGTATCTCTACGATCATCAGGCAACTGATGGATCCAAAACGGGCAGCCAGAACATAAGGGGGAGCAAGGTGGGAAATTCCGAGGGGTGTCATAGGCGACGCGTATCATAGCGCAAGAGTCAGGTGCAGGCGTGAAGTTGCCAAGTCTTCAGACTTGGGGCTATGCAGCAGTAGTTCCGGCATGAATAGAATAGAGCTGGGGACAAATGCCAAATCCACACATGCCCACACCACTACACAAACATACACCCACACTCTCTCCCTTTTCTCACATACACATACACTCACACGCGTCCGCACACACATTCTCTATATCTCTCTCTCACACACACACACACACAAACACACACATTCATTCTCTATATCTCACACATGCACACACACACATTCATTCTCTATATCTCACACACACACACACGCATTCTCCAAATCTCACACACACATTCTCTAAATCTTACATACACACACACACACATTCTCCAAATCTCACACAAACATTCTGTCTCTCTCTCTCTCTCTCTCTCTCTCTCTCACACACACACACACACACACACACACACACACACACACACACACACACACGGCCACAATACTCATCCTTTCATTCTCACACCTACCGCACATATAGTTGCACCCGCACTTATCCAATCACCCACACGCACTCTCTTTCTCACGAATGCACACAAACACACACACACACACATGCGCGCTCACACTCACACACACTCACACTCACACACACACACACACACACACACACACACACACACACACACACACACTTGGCAGCGGGACTACCAGCTAGATTCACTTGACCTTACGCGCAAAGTTACAGAGGTAGAACTTGTTTTCATGACGACACTTGGACACAAGCTCTGACCTCTTGTTGAGGGAGCGGGTCTTGTCGGCCCAGGCAATCTCCAGCTTCTCGGCCAGACACAGGTTGCAGCGCTTCGAGATGTTAGAGTAGGGTGCGGCTCTCCTCACAACGGACCACCTGATACTGTAAGGTTTGTTTTCATCCTTCAGTCTCCAGATGTGTCTGGACAGTCTCGTTGAGGTCTCGTGCTTCTTGTGGCGAATAGTATGTTGATGACCATTGAATCGTGTCTTGAATGTCCCTTCCGTTAATCCAGTGTACTCCTTCATGTCGCTGCCGGTTACTTGTGCCCTGTACACAATGCTCGATGCTAGACAGTTTCCTTCCAAGGGGCAATCTTTTTTGACACGGCAGTTGCAGGTTCTCACATCCTTGGTCTTATTCTGGTGGTCGCTGCGGAGGATACTATTGTTGTGTTGCTTGACGATGGTGGCGAAATTTGGCATGCAACTGTAACTGAACTTTAGCGTGTTCCGGTTAAATATCTTGTATAATTTGCAACCGCCATTGATATATTATGTGGAAACGCGCACTTGCGCCATTTCTGGTGTATAAGAATGATCATTCCTCCATTATCATCATTATCATCCTCTACTGATGAGCTCCGACAGGGAGCGAAACAGCTGTCTAGAGGCATGGAGCAATATTATCTCTCAACGGAAGTGTCCTTGCTGGTGTCTGTATGGTTCGGCTGAAGAGCGCGTGGTTGTGATGAGTTGGGAATGCAATGAATTGAAAATATGGCCGAAAGCTCTGTCGCAATATTTAGTTTTAGAATACTATTGTGTAGATTATCAAAAGCCCTAACTACCGGTACTTGTAGACCTACAGGCTACAGCACTGTACATAATTTACTTGCTTGGAACACCTGGTTACTTTCAAGTACATTGCTCTTTAAAAATGGAAAACCTGACACACACCATCTTCAATCCAAGTGGTCTCTTCGCTGCAAAAATATTTCTCAAATCAACTTTTCGGCCAGGAGCCATCATCAGGATTGCTCTTGCCGTCCAGAACATCGCTTGCATCATCCAATTATTCATCAAACCTTCTATATAAACTAATATTCGTACACTAGTGCATGGTGCTTCAATCAGCACTGTAACATTACAAGCATCGGTCTGTACTAATAGTAATAGCCACTCTCTTTGCTAATGCTATCACGGCATAGGTGGCGACTGGCGATACATGGTATTGCGGATGCCGACTACCAGCGCATGACACATGCCACTAGTACTAGTACTCTTAAGTACCTGTGCCTATGATGTACATCGAAGTGGTACGGATACAAAGTATTAGCGGAGATTCCGCATTGTTTTCCTCGCTACCTATTCCTCACGCACCCTGACCATTGGCATTGAACTAAGACGTGATCAAGACCTACAGATACATGTACGTGTACATGCTGTCTTAATGCTGTCTAGAGCATTGCCATTGGGCATTACGCTCCTCGACATTACTGTAAGACATTATTATATTATAATTTATAACGAGGAAGCAAATCTTACGTTTTAACGGATGACATTTCTTCGTTAAAATAAGATCCGTTGAGGCCGTACTGCTTCATATAATGCTGTGTGTGGATATGGCAGAATACTGCAAGATCGTTAACATATCTTCTCGTTAACCTATGAATTTTGGACAATCGTTGAATTTTGCGACTCGTTCTAATAACATATCATACAGTAGTCTTCTTGAGCACTGCTGGCTCTAGTGGTGCTGCATGTCTGTGATGCCTCCTTCGCACCATGGATTGTAACTCGGCTTGCTTATATTAGAGCTCGTAGCTGTACTGGTGAGGCGTTCATGGCCGAAACAGCTTGCAGTCTACAGCACTGGTTACATGTACATATAGATGTAGGTGTTATGTGTACAATCGCCTCTCTATTGTAGATTTTCACAATACTGTACTCACCATTCACCATCTACCCTATATCTGTATCTATTTCGCACACTGAGTCTGGAGAAAAATAATTGAATTTTTGGTCTAAAATATAAATGTACAAAATGAAGAAAGACTTCCATTGGGGAATAGATACGATACTGCATAACATAATTAAGATTGTCGGCGGAATGTTTCGGTTCCAGGGATCTGCCAGGTATAAGATGATAGTAATGTAGAATGAATTGACCAGCAGTTCCTACACATACATAATACATGTATATGTATACCATTGGTGGCTTTAAGGTGGTAGCTAAATGTCGATGCCTGGCTTCTCTGCCGAAATTACCGAAATCAACCGGGAAATAGGAAACTAGATTACCAGGGTATTTTCAATCATGAAAAAATGACAGAAGTAATAATGAAAAAACTACCAAGGAGGCCATGTGCATCCTAATAATTCTGTGACTGATCAATTATTGTCATGCTCGTTGACAGAATTTGTCGTAGACACCGGTACGTCGGTTGATACCTCATCGGATTCCACTTGGATTCTGCTGCGTATCAGCTCCAATTGTGTGCTTTGATAGCCTTCGCAAGCTTCGACGATGGGAATGTTGCATTCCTGGATGAAGCTGGAGTCGCGGCGGAGCACTAGGTTTGTGGCGCTGGGACGTCGGTTTTCGCTCCTCGTGGTAGCGTGACCTCGCGGGTTCGAGACGAGATTCTTGGCGCTTCTCAGGTAGATCGATAGCGGCACACCACGGCGGCGCAGCAAGATGGCCAGGCCGCAAGAGGCAACAACGACGACCCCGAGGCACGTCATTCCAACAATGAAGCCGATACTTGTCAACGGGAATCGACTGTCATCATCTGCAAAAGGGTATCACGCACAGCATAGAAAGTACCGATAGGGTGGTGAAATCATAATTGAATATTACTTTCAAAATTGTATACCATGGCAAAATGTATAGATGCGGTCCGAAAGAGCATAGATTCTTGGAATTGAAAGTTAGGTCTTACCCTTTATATGGCTCATTATACGGTTTTCAAAAGCCAGTGGCACTACTGTATTGAAGTCGACTATAGTCGTGTCTGTCGCTTGCCATGGAGCTGAAAATTAGGCACTCAGATGATGGCTGGTGGGGGGGGGGGGGGAGAAGTAGGATGTGCTGGGGGGGGGGGGGGAGGGAGAGTGGTGGCGGGTTGGGGCAGGAGGGATGAGTGGGGCCATGGGCGGGGAGGGGGGGGGGGGGGAGATATGTGGAAGGGGTGTATTATGTTCCCACCGGCTTGTAATGGAATCGAAAAATATGTGTATGTATGTTATAATGGTGCATGCACATTGCTGATTAGACTAGTGTGTTCTCTGTACCTGGGTCAGTGCTACCCAATGCGATGTCGGTACTATTGTCGTTTTCCTCTAGAGCTGAGTTCAGCAAAAGCAGACAATAGCAAGTATGAAAAATACACAAACATGCACAAACGCTCATACCCACACATACATGCACACACACGCACACATGCATGCACGCGCATACATGCACACACACATACACGCGCATACACGCACATACATGAACACACGCACATACACACATACACACACACAAATTTAGATGAATACATGCAAGCAGAACAACGCACAAACTACCACAAACAAAATCGTTTTTGTACTGTAACTCGTCGGACTTAATTCGCTCTGCTGTAGTACAGGCATCCAACAGCTAGCGCCTTGGCAAATTGGCTCTGCTGTAGTGCAGGCATCCAACAGCTAGCGCCTTGGCAAATTGCACACACTGCCCCACTATGCTATAGTCATCTAGCACTCAGCTCCACACAATTCTCAGCCGGCAAGTTGGCCCATTGATTACATATCAGGGGTCCCGCTAAACCTTACACTTGTTTCTGCCTGCATCCACCTTAAATTTCCATTATGCTTTGACCAGCCTGCATTGAATATTGTTTGCCTGATGATTGCACACGGTGCATGAAACTCAGAGTAGCAAAACATTACGAGTGATCCATTGTTTCTTGACATGTGTCATTGCTCCCCCCAAGTAATTGGATGCTGAACACTTTTTCTGCAGCTGCAGGCATAGTCTTACTGAGTATATAATTATATGTGTGTGTGTGTGTGTGTGTGTGTGTGTGTGTGTGTGTGTGTGTGTGTGTGTGTGTGTGTGTGTGTGTGTGTGTGTGTGTGTGTGTGTGTGTGTGTGTGTGTGTGTGTGTGTGTGTGTGTGTGTGTGTGTGTGTGTGTGTGTGTGTGTGTGTGTGTGTGTGTGTGTGTGTGTGTGTGTGTGTGTGTGTGTGTGTGTGTGTGTGTGTGTGTGTGTGTGTGTGTGTGTGTGTGTGTGTGTGTGTGTGTGTGTGTGTGTGTGTGTGTGTGTGTGTGTGTGTGTGTGTGTGTGTGTGTGTGTGTGTGTGTGTGTGTGTGTGTGTGTGTGTGTGTGTGTGTGTGTGTGTGTGTGTGTGTGTGTGTGTGTGTGTGTGTGTGTGTGTGTGTGTGTGTGTGTGTGTGTGTGTGTGTGTGTGTGTGTGTGTGTGTGTGTGTGTGTGTGTGTGTGTGTGTGTGTGTGTGTGTGTGTGTGTGTGTGTGTGTGTGTGTGTGTGTGTGTGTGTGTGTGTGTGTGTGTGTGTGTGTGTGTGTGTGTGTGTGTGTGTGTGTGTGTGTGTGTGTGTGTGTGTGTGTGTGTGTGTGTGTGTGTGTGTGTGTGTGTGTGTGTGTGTGTGTGTGTGTGTGTGTGTGTGTGTGTGTGTGTGTGTGTGTGTGTGAGTATATAATTATGTGTGTGTGTGTGTGTGTGTGTGTGTGTATGTGTGTGTGTGTGTGTGTGTGTGTGTGTGTGTGTGTGTGTGTGTGTGTGTGTGTGTGTGTGTGTGTGTGTGTGTGTGTGTGTGTGTGTGTGTGTGTGTGTGTGTGTGTGTGTGTGTGTGTGTGTGTGTGTGTGTGTGTGGATGTGTGTTGATGTTGTTTTCAATTCTGTATGGTTGCCGTGCCCAGTTTGTCCCGTGGGTGCACTCTGGAACAGCATGTGCAGTGTCATCCAAACGTACCCTGTTTTACACACCGCAGTGTAGAAGTTGGGCCAAGAATTTTTTTTTGTCACGAACATCTTCTTCCCTGTAAATCATGGTTCAATTGACCAGTTTAGGGAAATCCTTCCAAGTTATTTACCTGAGACTAAGACACAGTGGAGATCGGATATAACGACCTTGCATATAACGACAGGTTGAGTTTTGCGACACAATTCTGTTGCCCAAGTCGTTTAGTAAGTCCTTTGTAAAGATCGGGTTTAGTTGTGGCAGATCGAATATAGTGACATTTGTTCTCTCCCGAAGAAGTGTCGGTATATCCAATCTCCACTGTACCTTGGATTTGATTAGAGGAGTGTTGTATCCCCTTCTTTCGCTTTTATTTGTCCATATTAATACAGTAGTGGCGGAGGTGATATCAACATTTATTTGCCAATATAAGATTAGTTCGGGCCTGGTTTGAATCTGGCTTTGGAAATTCTTTTCTTCATTGCTATCAGGTTCGGCCTCATTTTCTCTGTGCTGCGCTGATGAGTCCACGAAGGCAGAAACAGTTCCGTCCGCAGATTGAGTAAGATTAGTTTCAAGTAGTTCCCATTCTATTGTTACGTAGATTCACCGATGAATGTAACAAGAAACCACTTCTGAACAAGTCCTCTCTTTCCCTGTCGTTGTGTGCCTTGCAATCATCATAATTATAACATTGTACACATCCATGTCGACATGTCGACATGTGCTGCGCTTGCGTAGTTGTTCTTACCGCGATACGTTCTAACAATAATGAGATGCCTTTTGTCGGCTCTTCTGCCTGGATTTCGTTGACAGATGCGTTAAGCCCATGGATCCTTCCATGAGTGGCATGCGAGCTGTAACTATTATTATTATATTATTATGTCGACATAATTATAGGAAATGCATACAGTGCAATTAGTCGACTTTGTTATGTGAACTGGTAATGTTATCTTTACGATATACAACTCGGACACTGAGGCAATAAATATAATCAACATAGAAGAAGGTCGTTGAATGTCTCAGCAACATGTCAGTTGTGTGCCCTGTTATCGCACTTTCTGACCGCTAATTATCTTGTTACAGTCGTGGATAGTTTCTCCATAACTCGTTTCCATGTGATTTCTTCTATTTCAATAATATATAAGATATATTCCATTGAAAACATTTTGACACATTTTCAACAATACCAACCCGCGATATTCATGTTAAAACAAAATGGCGTCACGATTTATTGAAAGTGGTATAGTTGGTGGTACGAGTGTTCAAAACCATTTGAACTTCATACTGTTCGTCTTCTTTTTGATATGCTCTCTTTCCATCGTCCTTAGCTTTTGTTTGTTGTGAGCTGTTTTGGCTTCCTCCTGTACCTCTGGGGGATGCCAAGTGATGGTTTTGAGAGGCTGGTGATGGCTGTGAGCGAGAGTTTGCCGATCGGCGTCGTCCTCGCTGTAGCGATGAAAATACTAGTTACTGCGCACCTGGCAGATATCACAACACGTCGGAGCGTCCAGGAGCAAAGGAATCTTGGGTTTTCACTGGAATCTAGTTCCTCCAGCATCGTGTAGCCCACCGTCGGTGAATGGCGGTCCAGAAAGGTCGAACCTGGTCTTCTGCAGCATCTCGCAGTCCTGCGAGGCACACCGTGTACGCCTGCCATGTATTGTACAAATAAAACTCATGCAGTAGTGGACTCTACAGTGATGAGTCTCAGCCTGTATGCTGCAAAAGACACAGGAAATGTGACTGGTGTCTGTACACTCAGTGACTGGACGCCAACACCCCAGTCTTCTCCAGCAGGATCTGTTTGACATTGACATTATGCAGTAGGTCGGCATTGACCTGGTTTGGCAGCTATCGTAATAGTATCTGCCTGATTGGATGTAGCAGGCTGGCGTTTGCTCGTCGTCCAGTCCGGAATTTTCTTGTAACTCACGGTGGAGTACGCGCAGGGTTTGTGATCATCCCTGTTCACTTCAATATTATCAAACACAACGTTCCCTTTGTCACTCATCTTATCCTGAGTACTGAATTTGCTGACAATATTACACCACACTTGTCACAACCTACCGCCACTGCTGGCGGTGGCGATTGGTTCATCAATGGCGGTGACCAGGCTGACTGACTAGCTTCGAGACAGCGGCCTCGTTGTCAACCCCGCGGCAGCCTAAAGGTTGATTTTATCAATCCAGCCTCAGCGCCATGTTGACGATGCCCTAGTGACTGTGTGTCATGGATTGCCTTGCCATCAGCGGCCATTGCCGTCCACCTTGGTGCAGCCCTCAACAACTGGCTCAGCCCATGGGAGTCTCAAGTGGACAAAGTTGTTGCCAAAGTAGCTCAGAAGATTGGTGCATCGTGGTGTAGGTGAGCACATAACTAGGACTTCCCAGCGCCTATTTGTCCAGGCTGCGATACTATGTGACATGCTGTACTGCACATTCTTTTCAGCACTGCAAGGCCGGCAGCTGGACCGACTGCAGGGGCCACGCACATGCAGGCCGCCTGTTGCCAGTGCAGCATTCTGGAACATTCCTTCCTTCTGAGATCCATGGAATAATAACTTTCTTTGCTTAAAAGCAAGTTGCTTACCTTTCTGTTGTGCTCCCAGTGTCCTTACAACAATAACCTACAGCAATGTTTTATTTTCCTTTCCATTCCCCAACCAATGAATACTACAATGTCGATTCTATTTCTGAATACTTTAGTGTGTGCCCGCGCACGCACGTGTGTGTGTGTGTGTGTGTGTGTGTGTGTATACCTCACTCGCCACTCGAAGTTCTGTTCCCCATTACTGGAACACTGCCTGTTCTTTCAGGACCTGCCATCATCTGCGGATGGGCATTCAATGATTGTATTGTGTGTGTGTTTCATTCAGAATCAGATCCCCTATCGTTGCTATAAGAGAAAATCTGTGGGTTCACATCCAGTGCATTTGTAGATTTGCGTGCTTTTCTCGCCACGGGCGCATACATGGGACATTGTGTGTGTGTGTGTGCGTCTGGGTGTATGGGGATATTGTCTGTATCGGCTTTTGGTACTAATGTTCAGGTCTGTGCATGCTATTGCTATGTTGTATATTATTGTATGTATGTGTGCATTTCCACGAACAGTGTAGATGAGCGTGGAGAGTGCATTCATCCCTCATCAACCACTTCCCCTTGGGCTTACGAGAGTTTTTTCTGCGTACCTCTCATTTTTGTTTGTTTCTCTCTGATACTGTATTGATGCTGGTACCTGTACCTCGATGTGTTCCTCTATCTGCAGTCGCCTTTATCCTTCGGTCAAGTTAACGTTTATTGTGCTCTATTTATCGTGCGAATCAAAATAAACAATAATAACACAAGTCATGCTAGAGTGACGACATGTGCGTGTAGTAGGGACGTTATAATTAGGTGGAAGAGAACACACATTGGGCAGATTGATTGGGCATCATTGATTGTGCTCAGTCTAAACAGTGAACATAATAATTATCTTCAGTGACAGACTGTAGCGGCTAGCCTCCAATCGGTAGCTGGCGCTAGTCGCTACTGCTTGTTTGACAGGTGCCGCCAGAACCCCTGTTGTGTCATGCTATAGATGCACATGCCCTATTCTGGGGCATACTGAGGTACTTTGATTTTGTTGACTGCATGTAGACAGCATCCAATAGTAGTACTCGTAGACCTTGGCTCTTTGTAGGTCAACCACCACCGCATGGATCGATCCGTGACTATGCACTTGGAGGTTGGAATAGCCCGCGCTGAACAGATCCTGCCATGGCCCAGGGAGTGAACTCGCTTACTCGACTATCCCGGTTTTAGTTAACCAGCATGAGTGGTGCAATTTGTCCATACCATGTTGCGAGCTCACAGTTGTTTGGGCAGGTTTTGAGCTGCACAACGAAACAAAGCGAAATAACGGCGTGACTGCAGAGCAAGGAAGCGGCGAGACGGCACTTCCAGGACGAGACAGGCAGTAGAGATGTGTTCACAGCACGAGCAACCTCTCAAACCCTGCCGGTACTCCACAGTTACAAGAAAATGTCGGACTGGACGACGCGCCAATGCAAACCTGCTACATCCACCCAGGCAGATAGCTGCCAAACCAGGCCAATGTCGACCCACTGCATACCGGTATGTCAATGTCAAACAGATCCTGCAGGAGAAGACTGGGATGATATTGGCGTCCAGTGTACGGACACCAGTCACATTTCCTGCGTCTTTTGCAGCATACAGGATAGACTCATCACTATGAAGTCCACTACTTCGTGATTTTTATTTGTAGAATACATGACAGGCGTATTCAGTGTGCCTCGCAGGACTGCGAGATGCTGCAGAAGACCAGGTTCGAACTTTCTGGACGGCCATTCACCGACGGTGGGCTACACGATGCTGGAGGAACTAGATTCCAGTGAAAACCCAAGATTCCTTTGCTCCTGGACGCTCCGACGTGTTGTGATATCTGCCAGGTGCGCAGTAACTAGTATTTTCAACGCTATAGCGAGGACGACGCCGATCGGCAAACTCTCGCTCACAGCCATCACCAGCCTCTCAAAACCATCACTTGGCATCCCCCAGAGGTATAGGAGAAAGCCAAAACAGCTCTCAACAAACAAAAGCTAAGGACGATGGAAAGAGAGCATGTCAAAAAGAAGACGAACAGTATGAAGTTCAAATGGGTTTGAACACTCGCACCACCAACTATACCACTTTCAATAAATCGTGACGCCATTTTGTTTTAACACGCCTACGGTCCACTGCAGCTACATGCATACCGTATAAGAACAAATTTTCGTTCACGAAATCTTTCGTTATTTCACTCCACCAGCCGGCTGGTTACGTACTAAATTTCGTTGTTGGTCGAGGTCTGTCACCCCAAACGTTCAGAAAAAACTTTAGTTTGGTACAAAACTTTAGTTATTTCGCGCCCCCTAACGAATATAGCGAAAGTTAATTCCAAACGAAAAAAAATTCTTATCCAGTATCCAAACTCACGTTGACACTGGACATGGGGCCAGGCAAATCCTGATCCGGGACTTTTGCCACGCACACATCTGATCAAGGCGGTGTCATCATTAGGGTAGTAGCCCGAGGCGCAAACGAGCACGGCGTTAGCAGCGCCCTCGATCTTTGGCAGCATGTGCACTTTACCATTGGCTACTTTGGGTGGTGTGAGGCATGTCTCGTTGTCGGGGACATCGCGTGGCAGATCTGTTGGGTGTGTTGGTATGACTTTGATACGCGCGCGTACACACACACACACAAACACACACACACACACACATGTACACACACACACACACATGTACAAACACACACACACATGTACACACACACACACAAACACACACACACATGCACACACGAATACAAACACACAAGCGTGTGATGGCACAATCCACACATCCATTTAATTGTACCGTGACACGGAGGGACGGACATACAGTAGGACATAGGGACAGATGGACAGACGGACGGAGAGATGGATCGAGAGATGGATGTAGAGATGGACAGACAAAAGGAAGATAACGAGAGACACACACAGATACAGAGGTGAGTAAGTAAGTGAGCAAGACTGGAAAATATTTTTATGAAAGGATAATCTCCAGCTGATCACCAAGTCAGTAATAAACAGGGTAGGGTCTGTATTGCGGGACAGACAATCTGGTAGGGTCTGTATTGCGGGACAGGCAATCTTGTAGGGTCTGTATTGCGGGACAGACAATCTGCTTGCAGGGTATACTCTGGCAAGTAGGGCACTTGCAGTACCCTTAAGTCAGAGAATACAGCAGAAGCCTATACCGCACATTACCACTGTGTCTGTTAAAGAGGGGAAACTAGAGCAGAACTCACTAGTACAATGGACTGGGGTCCACGTTGGCTTAACTGGACTGTCATCAGGACGTTGGCAGGTGATCTTATGCGTCTTGGTCGTGTATCCGGTATGGCACACAGCGTAGCCGAAAGCGCCAATCTCATTGCTGTTGGGTGCGATGGCAATGTAGCCGTTAAGGGGAGCCGTTGGAGGGTTGCAGAGATCCACTGTTAACAGGTAGTCTTTGGTCCGCTTACTGATGGCTGAAAATACATGAATGACACAGCAAAATTTTAAATGTTTAAAAAGAAATAGCAGCTTATCAATTGTCACCAGCACCATTCGATTGCTGCTAACTCTCCGTCAAAAATGAACCACTCCATAGTCTATTAATGTTGCGATGTTCTGATGTTTGGGGCCAGTCGCACAACTGTTACTTCCTCCGCGTCATCGAAATTGTCGCAGTTTGACTAGTGACTTGCCACTTGTTACTGACAACTCCATAAGCTAAACCATTCAAAACATTTTACACAGTATGATAGTCTGAAGACTAGAGTAACGTTCCAGGACAGTCGGGCTGAGAGTTTTCATGCAGAGATGAAGTCCTCGTCGTCGCTGATGTCAATGGACGCAAAAATATCGTTCCGAAATATTTCAAGGAAGGTTGAAAGTTGGTCGCGCCTCATCTCAGACGCTTTGATTTTCTCTACAGGACAAGAGCTGCTATGCTTGTCGTCTGCTAGCTCTGGATGATTTCTACTTCACCCCTAACGAAGCCTAGTAAGAATAAACGATCGTTGCGAGGTCGGTTGATTACCGTCGGCGGAACCAAATCGATCTTGAAAATGAACTTTTTTTAGCCGTGGCATGCCCATTTATTTTACCTGTGTGGTCACAGCTCATGCAGGTAAGTGTACTATCATCCAGCGCGCCCTCTTTTTCAGCATCACTGGTACGGCACCTGCGCGTGCATCACTAGCACTTCGTGTAGAGTCTACACCATAGTACACGGCTCTTGCAGGTAAAATCATGTACTGAGTGTCTCAGCCAGAGCAACAAATTTTATCGCCGTTGCATGCATTTAGTTTGCTGACCCCTCGGTGTTTCTCCGAGCGCTGCTACTTGTTCCACGAAGTCATTCTCACCCAAGCTAAGGTAAACAGTGATGAGGCTCGAGTGAATGGCCATAAGCACGAGAAATGTGCAGCCTGCAACGCCTGACTGATCTCAGGGAGTTGAAATTACCATCGCAGCGACATCAGCGAAGAAATTGCGTCTAGTTCAAAAATTTCAGATTCCAATAACAGAATATAGAACTTTGCCGTCACCCTATACTGATGACTATCGCCTATGTCCGATTCATTGCCTCTGATACGAGTGCTGGTGAGTAAATACCCCGTTTTATGTCAAAAGTCAAACTGCGACAATTTCGATGACGCGGAGGAAGTATATGGGATGTGAAAATAACACGCGAAGCACAGAAGCCATAATAGCTGCGACCAGGCCTTTCATAACATCACTTTTCAGGTGGAATACAACGGTGATTAACATGGCAGCAAGCAAGTTCTTATAACCGGCCCTTTGGTGATCAGAGCAGTTACAGAATAGCACCTGAGATAGGACTAGTGGTTCCAGCTACATAGTGAGACCATCAAAACACACAAGGCACGAGGAAGATTTACAGATTTGTCGCAACTCGGAGTGTCTTGCACAATGCAATCATCAGGCAACTGATGGTCGCATTGTGCAAGAAACGGCGGAGTTGCGACAAACCTGTAAACCTGATTCTTGCCTTGTGTGTGATAGTGCTCCACATTACTGTGTTGAGCCCTCTCTGCTGGCAGAAGGAACTTTCCCTCCTTGTGGTGAGACAATCAATAAAGAGCATATTATGTGAAATTGCGACTGAATAGAGCTGTCGTCAGTCATCAATCCCAAGCATCTGATTATGCAGCTAACAGGGCAGTCTTGAAGCCCACAGTGCATCCTGTAGTGTGGAGCATCGTCAATGTCACAGCAATGCTATTAATGTGATGCATCAGACACACAGTCAGACACACAGTCAGCAGGCGCCTGCCCCGTACGGGTTCCTGGGTGCCCGGAACCCCCTTTTTTCGCTCAAAATGCAGGATTTTCCTTCATTTTTTGAAAATATTTCCCCGGGACACCCCCCCCCCCCCCCTTGAAGGGCACCGGCGTACGCGCCTGGTCAGACACACAGTCAGACACACAGGCAGGCTGGGGACTCACGATCACAGAATACTGGACTCCACGCAGCCCGCGCTCTCTGAGCTGTCGGCGCCTGGCAGGTCATCGTGCTTTTACCATTACGAGTAGCATACCCATCCTGGCAGATGGCGAGTGCTTTAGCACCGATGCCGGTCGAAGTGTAGGAGAAGATACCACTATGGCCAGCTATCGAGGGGAGTCCACAGTCAGTCACATCTACACGCAGAACAAGAGAAAGAGTAAGGCAATGGAAAGGAATATTCTCTCCAAAATCGCTTGGGCAAACGGACGAATATTCTTTGTTCTTCTGATGTGCCTCGGTCGCTTCACTCCATTAGACCCAACATTCATGTTGCATACAGATCATGCTGATAGTCAATACTCACTGGCTATAGAGCAGATTTGACCTGAGGACATGCTTCACAGTTCTCACAACATATTTTCTTTTCTACACTATCATCCTCAACACAGCTCAGGAGATCAAAGTTGGAGCTAAAAACACAATCATAAAGTGCGAACCTTTCGATTTTCAAAATTAGAATGTCGTTGCCTGGATTCGAATATTCTTTCTGGTGTCGGTATTCTAGGGTATTGGAACAATTCGAATATTCCTTGCATCACTAGGTTATAACGACTGTCTGAGTATCGACAATTCGCGAGTAACGACACAATGTTAGTGCTCCCCCAGAGGTCAAATTCACTGCTTGAATAACAACTTACTGGGCTCCTGACCGCTATTTCAAGTACCCAGTGTCATGCAGAAGCACCAGAGCGCATTGATCGAGCTGCACATGCCACAAGATGTCGCAGTGTGTGTGTGTGTGGGTGGGGGGGGGGGGGGGGGTAGGGTAGGATTGGCTTTTTTCTTTGTTCTTGTTTTTGCTTCAAATGCCAAATGGGCGCCCAACAGGTGCCGAATGCATGCGTTGGCAGCATGACTGAAATACACACTTTCTCACACACTCCATATGGTATGATAATTGTTACGCTGGGCTTTCTACATTCACGGTACAGCTGCATATAGCCGTACTCTCGGGGCAGGGTCATTATCTATTTCCGTCTGATGATCGATTCAGTTCGAGAAACTCAGAGTGATGAAAAGCAACTGCTCGTTCTTCTCTCTGTGTACATGTACATGTTGCACTTAGTCACTAGTTGGAGCAATCAACTAGAATAAGAGCTTTGGGACCTCGTTCGAACACGATATTTGTGGCCGTGGCAGCGGGCAACACAGCTTCAATGTACATGTACATGGAGTATTGTTAGAAGTGGAAGTAGTACACGTGTTAATGGGCACACACACAATCACTCTCTCGCTCTCTCTCTCTCTCTCTCTCTCTCTCTCTCTCTCTCTCTCTCTCGCTCTCGCTCTCGCTCTCTCTCTCTCTCTCTCGCTCTCTCTCTCTCTCACTCTCTCTCGCTCACTCTCTCTCTCTCTCTCTCTCTCTCACTCTCTCTCTCCCTACTTACCAACTTGTGAAGTTATGGAACAATCTGTTGAAGAACAGGCCAACAAGCAAAGAAAAATGACAGAATTTTCTGTGTGCAATGCTTATACTTAAAAGCACCCACGATAGGCGGTCAGCCTTTGGGCCATCCAAATAAAATTATTATTATTAAAGTGACCCACAGATATGTACAGGGACTACTCAAAAGAATGGAAAGAAGACTTCTATCACACATGATGCATGCGAGACAAGAGACAGTTTGATGAATATCATCACACAAGAAAATGCTACATCCCCACCAGGATGCATGGATGAATGGAAGTAGAGAGTGACCCAAAACACAAGTATCAAGAACTGAACGGCAAGTCCTGCGAGTCGTCCATCTTTATTCTCTTATCTTCTCATACTACAATTGACATTACAACGCTTGTCTTCTGAGAGTGCCAGGGAGACGCTAATTTACCCAGGGCAGCTAACACAAGCAAAGAACCAGCATTCCACACCCTTTGTAACACACTGTATGTATGCCCCCCCCCCCCCCCCCCTTTAAAGCCATGGTCTCATAATCATTCAAAACACCGCTGCTTGCCCAGCTATCTTAGATGCAAAAATGACTCAGCCACTACGCCATGCCATAAGAGTGACAGTTCACACAGAAATTAAAATCTAAATCCACTTGTTCACCCTTTCTGCTGGGTTGGAAGCTTGAAGCTATGGCTTTTTAATTTACTGAGACTGGCTTTATAATCGATATACAGCCATGGCCTTAAGTAAAGGTGCGGTCATAATGGTATTATGTTCCACCCAGGTTTGGACTATTTCTTATCGTCTCCGTCTCCTGCCCAAAGACACTTACAGATAATTCGGTACTTCGTGATTGGCTCGTTTTGCAATGTAATGATGTCTCTGCAGTCGCCATGTACTCTGCCCCAGGATGCAGTGCAGATGTTGTCCTCTTGGCTCAGCAAAAAACACGTCAGGCTATTGTTCTTCAACAGGCTGGATGACGACATTAAAGCAAATGAAGGACAAGGATATTTTTTCGGGGTCACTGAGTATCACGTGGTACACACACGTAAAGTACACACGGATTACGTGGGACTAAACCTCTCTAGTATTACGCCATGCAAGCCAAAAGAGCATTCTTCTACCAAAATCCTACCGCCAAAAAAGCATAATCTCACGCCATAAGAATAATAAAATACAAACGAGTTCAGCGACAAAGGTGTAGGTGCGGTAGAACCAAAAGCATTTGGTGAAAACAGCCTCCTACCGCCAAACACAGCATCATCTCGTGCCACAAGAATGTACATTGAGTTCAGCGGCAAAGGTGTAGTAGGAGATATTCAGCACCAGAAGCAACGCATAGTGTCAGATGACATACAGTCACTGTCACCTTCCTAACACCTATATCTCACACCTATGTCATACCATCATCTGTCACCTTCCTAACACCTATATCTCACACCTATGTCATACACTCCATGAATGCATACGGTAAGAAGCATGGTAGCGAGGAAAGCTTTTCTGGGATGCTGACTCTTAGGTTATGGTGTTTTGATGATTTTCAAATCCAGTTATTAAGTTACCATGAAAAGCAGTGGATAACATCCACATATATCTGCTTCCTACAATAGTTTCCATCGGGCACTGATGTTACCATAGGGCCTGGCGGCACGGCTTCACGTGGTTTGAAGCGAGCTCTATCTGGCTCCCTGGCAACAAGGGCAACTGCAGAGAACGCACTGTGACCACATACCAATTTGCAAACTGATTGGGTCGTGCGGAAATGGTCCCCCAGGGCGTATCTCCTGTGTGACTTCTCATCTGTCACCAATAATATGTTTCTCGAGGATGCCACTGGTCTCGCTGACATACTATTCTGGATAATCCTTGCAATAAATATCATAAAACTCGGATGATGAGCCAATAATTTATTACGGAATGGAAATGACCATAAGGAGATGTGTTCGGAGATGTGTTGGAGCTAGGTGTCAGGACGTTGAATGTCACCGTACTCTGTCAGTTTTGTGCCTAATTGTTGCACTTTCTGACTGTATAGAGTCTAAGTACAGTGGTGGAGAGTTACTCTTTACTATCCACTCTCCACTCCACTCTTAACCCTTTACCGTTTTAGGTATTTGTACAGCAAAAACCGACCGTCATTGTTCATGCCGTAACTTTTTTATTTTTCACTTTTATTAAGTACAAAATGGGGTGATTCTGAAAGTAAAAACACTCAGGAATGCGATGCAACAACTTTCAAGTCCAGAAAACGAACACAGATTTCACTATTTACCACTAATAATTATTTGAATTTATTGCCGATCGGGCAAACTGTTGCAATATGCAATAAATCAGATCCTTGCACTGGAGTGGCTCCCTCAGGTAAGTGGATACCGGGTTCGTTCTCTGGGTGGAATGCAGGAGTGTTACCAGTCACAGTGGTGTCAGCATTGTCCCAAGTATTGCAAATATCGACTAGTGCAGGTTGCACCGCTGGCTGTACCTAGTACCTGTGCACCACGACCTCTACCGTGACGACGGCCTATTCCACGGCCGAATCCTCTCTCTCTGCCACGTCCACTTCCACCATTCGTGGCACTCATCTCAGCGACACTGTCGTCGTCTGTGACATCCATGTCACTCTCACTGGCGCTGCTTTCACTCGCCATGTCATCGTCGCGGTCATCGTCAGAATAAATATTTTCAACAGGATTGTCTGGCTCCAAAAACTCATCTTCGCTGGATGAGGCAGCGACAGAGTCATCAGGAAGGGTCTCCAGAAGCGAAAGAGCTTGCTCCGCGTCCATGGCTTGCACAGCAGGGCAGACAGTCGTGAGACCAGCTCAAGCAAAGGTTGAAATAATCTGCAGGCAATACCAAAAGTCGTAGGGTACGCACTTTTCCCAAAGCGCATTTTTCAAGTCGCGATTTTCGCGAATTTTTATATTGCATCACACAAAAAAATTGTCGGCACCCTCTGCGCGTACATCTTGGCTACCAGTAGGGAAAACCCCAGCTCTCTGCGGTGAACCAGTCCAGCGCTGTGCGCACACTAGTCATCGACCGCGAGCGGTCGAAATTTGTACGTACAAACGGTAAAGGGTTAACTCGTGTCCATATGTTCCTTTCTTTTTTTGTACAAAATATCTTGCACTACATTATTCTGCATACATTTTCTCCACCTGACACGTGTGAATAATGCGTGCAGGTTGATCACATGATGTGAAGTTCTGCCGTCACAGATGCCATAGCTGGAGTTGCACCTTTTGGGTGTACTGTACACTTGCTACCATGTCACTCTCAATCGCAACAATAGCAGCACTCACATTGTTGCTGACTTCTTTATGGAGTCCAATGTAGCAGTGGTCATTGTGGTCAACTTATTGCCGCTCAAGTCCCTGATGAGGAGAGGAGAGAGATACAGATTATGAGAGAGAGAACGGGGGGGGAGAGAGAGAGAGAGAGAGAGAGAGAGAGAGAGAGAGAGAGAGAGAGAGAGAGAGAGAGAGAGAGAGAGAGAGAGAGAGAGAGAGAGAGAGAGAGAGAGAGAGAGATAGTATAAGATAGAGAGTATTAGATAGAGAGATATGCGGGACAGAGGTAGTCAGACAGAGACGCATGCAGAGGCAGAGGCAGAGACAGACATAGAAACACAGAGAGGCAAGGAGACAGAGACAGAGGCAGAAACCGAGACAGAGATGGAGTGACCTTCCCGTAAGCATTCTTGCATTGAATGTCGGAGTTGAAAAACATGAACACCCGCCTGCCAGAATGCATGAAGTGTTGAAACACTATCTTGATAGTGAGGAAAGGGGTCAGGAAGGCTTGGGCTACACGCTCGGTTGCACAAAATCTCCTTACAGAGTCTTGAGTGCGGCAAGGCCAGAGTATGTGCCAGGAAGGATAGACGTGAGCAGATTATCTGCAATCTTCCTGTGACAGCAAACGTAGAACAGAACAAAGCACCTGATCAAAGGAAAGAAAGCAGCGCGTAGCGTTTTGAAACCACTGATGAAACATGGTTTGCTTTTTGGTTTCACACTTATATTCTAACTCTCAGAAGGATCACACAGTTACGGTTTGTAGGTTTGCCTATTTGCGAGGAGGAGAGGAAGATGAAGACAGTGTGCGAGTAGTATGCGCGCAGCTTTCCATCAAACCATTCGGTGCATAGTTAATTTATACAAAAGAGAAAGGACCAAGGAACAACAAGTTACGCTATACTGTCCACTAACACCACCAGTCCGAGCCGTCCATTAGTGCATAGTTTATATGCATAGCGGTACCTTTGTAAGCCGGCACCAGTTGTGCTACGGAAAGTCTCCTGACCTGGGAGGGTGCTGGATAACAATTCTTTTTCTTTGTGCAGAGGGCATGGATATGAAAATTTCGGTTTCTTAAAAATGATGCTGGCAGGAAGAAGGTTAAGGGTGCTGGTATATAGCATGCTGGATCAAAGATGGGTGACTGAATACACAAGTCGTGTGTGTTTGGAAAGTACCTATAGTACAAAAATTGTAAAGAAAGAAAAAATTCGAAGGGTTCGCGTACCGGGCAGGTCAAGAACAAGGAGCCGTACAACTCCCTGGTCAAGAACCACCTTTTCCGTGCTTCCGTACCACTGCATTGGATTGTGCAAAATCTTTTTTAAAGACAACCATACTTACAGGACCTGAAGTGTGCTTGCTAAGGGCTTGAACGTGTCCGGGTGAATGCTGGCAAGTCTATTATTGTCCAAGATCCTATCAGTGAATATCAGAAGAAGAAACGGGAAATGTGTCGGAAGGGTTATTGATAGAAACACAATCAATCCACAGCCAACCGACAACAATTCGTTTTGACCGAAACAATTTCCTCCGGAATTCATCGAGTGTCTGAAGAACGTTACATCGAGGATACAGTCAACCTCTTGCATAATATTCTTGCGAATAATGACATCATCTTCAGACCTAGTCGGCAATTGACTGTATACTTTGACATCACGCATAGCAGCATGCTTATCATACCCCGTCGAGGGCCATTCTTCGAGAGGTAGACTTATAAAAGTGTAGTAGAGACATGATTCTTTGAAGAAGACTGCATCAACATATCCCATGGAATGCAATAGATGAGAAAAAGCAAACAAAAAATGGGGTGAAATCGCCCAACAGTAAAGCTATGCGTGCAGTTGATACTACACTCACAAAGTGACGATGACAAGACCTTGGAACGCATCCTTGTCCATTGTCTGCAGACCGTTACTGTCCAGTAGTCTTGAGGTGGAGTAACAACGGAAAACAACAGCAAAACAAAACAATTAAAATGCTTATGTGAAGGGAAGTAATAAATGAAGTTTAGGACACTGAAGAACTTTGCCCAGTAAAGTAGAGTGGTTTTTTCTGAATGGAATACTCGTCTTGCAAAACTGGATTCTTCCTGTCCTCGCACATTGATTACTGCCCTGGGGGAACGGGATGGGGCTGGGAGGGGCTGGAACGAGTTGAGTGGGCGGGTTGAGAGGGCTGGGAGGGGTTGCGAGGGGACTGAGAGGGGGCAGAAATGGGCTAGGAGGGTGGGAGGTGGGCTGGGAGGAGACTGGAAGAGGGCTGGGAGGAGGACTACCGTATTTCCTCGATTAATGGACCATGCTCGAATAATAGACCATGCTCAAATAGTAGACCCTCCTAGAGGCCTCACGGAAAAATAGTAGACCATGCCCGAATAAGAGACCCGGTCTCTTATTTGAGTTCATCGCTTTGCGCATGCGCACTAAGAAAGCACGTGGTGGATCAAAAAAGGACGCGATTTTAGGTTGCGCAACTACAATTTTTGTAGTGGCTAGTGCTTTCTTTCATTATTTGAGCACGGGCCACTATATTTTCATCGGCACATCGCTGGAAATGGTGGATTTTTAACAAGTCATAATATAGAACTTCTATATTATGACGTGTTACAAAATTCACCATTTCCAGCGATGTGCCGATGAAAATATAGTGGACCGTGCTCGAATAATGGTCCATGCCCAAATAAGAGACCAGGGGTCCAACCCTCTTCAAAAAACAAAAGACCGAGTCTATTAATCGAGGAAATACGGTATTCTTGCTACTTAGCAACAGGTTGAGGCCTGCTTAATTATTCCACTGAACATGAAAATCAGAACACAGGATCCATCACTTACAGGCCTTTCACCTTGGGGAAGGCCTTGAAGGATCGAGCTGGAAGATACTTCACCGCACATGAATCCAACACACTGAAACAGGGGCAAGACACAAAACAAGGAGAAGCGAGAATAAGGGATAATTCTGTAAATCAACAAAATATTCGGTGCATACACATATGTATTTTCGACTATTTTTGGCCTGGGCATTTTTGGCCTAAAATTTGCGGCCGAAATTTTGCTTTGCGAGGTTCAGTGTGACAGTGTATACAGACAGCAGGGGTAAAGGCTGAAAAATTAATGTGATCGAAATGTGTTTTAGCCCCAAATGGCCAAAATTTCAACTCGCTGAAAATTTGTAGACTGACAGTAGCCTCTGCAGGTTTTGATCAGTAGGCATGAGAAGTTCACAGTGGTAAAGACACTCACATACAGGTTTTGATCAGTAGGCATGAGAAGTTCACAGTGGTAAAGACACTCACATACTGCATGAGAACTATGCAGATGAGTAGCACAATGTGTCAGTTTCCGCAAACACAGGTTAATCTGAAGGGAGAGCTATCCAGGGTGTACAAGGTATCATGATAACAATAGGAGTTTATGTAGGTAATCAACTAGCATTCCGCGCCGACGTGACTCACAGAATGGTGAACGAGGACGTGTCAGCGGAGAACTTGGGTACGGCCGTGATCTTCGGGTCGGTGCACATCAGTGTACCAGATGCAGACCGACAGTTGACACCGGTAAAGTTGGTGGCCAGTGGTGACGTGTGAACTACTTTACCGACTGAGTAGACATTGGAAAATGAAATGCAAAAAGAAAAATTATAACGTCTTTCTCAGACTTGATCCCCTCAAACAATCAAATCATTACAATTCTCACAGGGAGGATTTCCATGACGTTACTTTTGGCGTGACTGATATTTTCTGTCAGAAATAGGATACTAAATCATTTCCGATGAGAAATTTAATGTTACTCCTCCAAAAAAGAGAGAGAGTGGAATGAAACTTTATATGGTCTACATAATGGTGAAGATGATAATATTATGAGTTCCATGCAGATATGAGTACCTGTTCACACACACACACACACACACACACACACTGACACACACACACACACACACACACACACACACACACACACACACACACACACACACACACACACACACACACACACACACACACACACACACACACACACACACACACACACACACACACACACACACACACACACACACACACACACACACACACACACACACACACACACACACACACACACACACACACACACACACACACACACACACACACACACACACACACACACACACACACACACACACACACACACACACACACACACACACACACACACACACACACACACACACACACACACACACACACACACACACACACACACACACACACACACACACACACACACACACACACACACACACACACACACACACACACACACACACACACACACACACACACACACACACACACACACACACACACACACACACACACACACACACACACACACACACACACACACACACACACACACACACACACACACACACACACACACACACACACACACACACACACACACACACACACACACACACACACACACACACACACACACACACACACACACACACACACACACACACACACACACACACACACACACACACACACACACACACACACACACACACACACACACACACACACACACACACACACACACACACACACACACACACACACACACACACACACACACACACACACACACACACACACACACACACACACACACACACACACACACACACACACACACACACACACACACACACACACACACACACACACACACACACACACACACACACACACACACACACACACACACACACACACACACACACACACACACACACACATGCACACTCGCACACGTTCACGCACACATGCCCGCGTGTACGCACATGCTTGCAGACACACACACACGCAATCACAAATATACACATCCACGCATGGACACTCGTTAATTAATGCAAGCACACACGCGTGCAGGGTCATGCACACACATGCACACACGTACACATGCAAACACATACACATACACACACACACACACACACACACACACACACACACACACACATGCACACACATACACATACACACATACACATGCAAACACATACACATGCACACACACACACATACACATTTACACACATACACATACACGTGCACACACATATGCATGCACACAAAGGACATAATATGAAGGTACTTAAAAAGTACTTGAGTAAGAGACTTGAAGAGAAGGCAACAGATCTACACCACACAATACCACGGTGTCTGTTAAAGAGGGGAAACTGGAGCAGGACTCACTAGTGCAGTACACTGGGGTCCACGTTGGTTTAACTAGACTGTCATCGGGACGTTGGCAGGTCATCTTATGCGACTTGGCATGGTATCCGGCATTGCACAGAGCGTAGGCGACAGCGCCAATAGCATTGCTGTTGGGTGTAATGGCAATGTAGCCGTTAAGCGGAGCCGTTGGAGGGTTGCAGAGATCCACTGTTGACAGGTAGTCTTTGGTCCGCTTAGAGATGGCTGCAAAGACATGAGTGGCACAATAAAAAAATTAAAAATAAGGGCAGCTTATCAACTTACAACACCTCTGCTCTGTTGCTGCTAACTCTCAGTCAAAGGTCGGAGTCACTCCATAATCTATTGGTGTTGCAATGTTATGCCGTTTCGGGCCAGTCGCCCAATTGCCAGATTAGAGTGAAATTGCATCTGCATAGAGTGGCTGCCAGTCGTCAATCACAAGCATCGGTTTGTGCAGATGAAATGCAAGTGATGAAGCCTGCAGCGCATCTAGTCGTATGAGGGGTCGTAACTGTCAAGGCAATGCGAAATAAAATACTTAAAGGAAGCAAGCGGGCCGACTCACGATCACAAAATACTGGACTCCACGCTGCCTTCAGACCCGGGGAAGTCGGTGCATGGCAAGTCATCGTGCTTTTGCCATTACGAGTAGCATACCCATCCTGGCAGATGGCGAGTGCTTTAGCACCGATGCCGGTCGATGTGTAGGAGAATATACCGCTATGACCAGCGATCGAGGGTAGTCCACAGTCCTTCGTCCAGTCTACATCAGAACAAGATGAAACATGATGCAATGGAATACGTTTCAACCAAAACAGACACATACACACACACACACTAGCAGACACACCATTTCTCCTTTTCTTCCTCTCACCCTCTTCCTCTTTCTCCGTCTCTGTCTGCCTGTCAGTCTGTATCTCTGGGTAGTTTGAGTAGGCTGAGGAATAGGCTGAGGAATAGGCTGAGGAATAGGCTGAGGAATAGGCTGAGGAATAGGCCGAGGAGTAGGCCGAGGAGTAGGCTGAGGAATAGGCTGAGGAATAGGCTGAGGAATAGGCTGAGGAATAGGCTGAGGAATAGGCTGAGGAATAGGCTGAGGAATAGGCCGAGGAGTAGGCCGAGGAGTAGGCTGAGGAATAGGCTGAGGAATAGGCTGAGGAATATTGTGTCTGAAGAGCACAGCATTATACATTGCTCTCAATGTCAAACTAACACCACTGTACAGTGAACGCTCATTTTTGTACCTTGTTTGAAGGTGTGCCAGTTCGTATCTGTATCGATATTTTTGATTTCGGTCAGTATCTAAAGTACGGAGGGTTTTTGAACCAAACGTCATATTAGGTGAATGGGGTCCACCTAGGGATAAAAGGAGCCATCTTTGAGCAAAATCGGAAAAAAATGGCCCTGTCGGGTGGTGTTTGGTCGTTGCAGACATTGACTGATGCTGAAGTTGGTGCTACATGTGCTACTGTGTGTTATAGCAATCTTGTCTCCAGGGAAATGCTTTATCTCTCCCTACTTGCAACTTACCAACTGCTAAAGCTTTGCCACAATCTGTGGCACAAACAGACCAAAAAGAACAAACAAAAGGGGAAATAATTTTGAAACAGCTCCGTAATAGCAAGACAGTGATCTGATTGTTCGGTAGCTAGTTGGTTGAAAAGACAATATTGAAGACTCACAAATCACACATGCTTATAACAGTTAACCCACATGCACACTAGACAAGAGACAGCTTTGGGAATACCATCCCACGGAAAAACAATACATCGTTTTATACCAGCTCAAATGGACGGATGGATGAAGATTGACAGAAAGCACAGGTTAAAAAGACTTATGAGCAAGTATTGCGTGTTGTCAATCTCTATTCTGTTATCATCTCATACTACAAAATTAATCGGACTAAAAAGCCCATTTTCTGAGAGTGTCAGGGAGGGGTAAATTTATCCAGAGCAGCTAACTCCATCAAAGAACAAGAATTATAATTATGCCTTTTGAAACCTTCCCAGATTCGACCTTTTTTCAATCATCCCCGTCTCTTCCCGAATGTACTTACGAAGAGAGCGGAATGTTGTGATGGGCTGATCCGCCGAAGTGAAGTAGTCCAGACAGGTACCATGTACTCTACCCCAGGACGAAGAGCACATGTCCTCGACACCGCTCACAGAACACGTCAGGCTGTTGTTGTTCAACAGGCTGGATGAGGACACGACAAAAAAAAAAAAGACAAGGATACTGAGACAATACGCCAGCACTAAAATCAAGAGTCCATAAACAAGAGTATGCAACTGTGATCTCTTTTCTATGGGCCAGATGCGCGGTGCGCTGCCTTCATTACATCATTCAGCTGCAGTCCGCGCACTGCGGAAAATCAAACACCGCACTTTCCCTCTGGTTTGAAATGAACTTCCGTAGGGAACCGGATGGACTCGTACAAGAAAATGTGAGCTTGAATACATGCGTTCAGAGTGTGATGAAGGCAAGTTACGTAATGAAGGCAGCGCGCCGCGCACTGACCCATAACCACAGTTGCATACTCTTGTTTGTGCACTCTTGTTACAATCCATCGGTAGAAAGTAATTGGGTGGACCCGCTCCAAACCCACTTCACAGGACCCTGACCGATCCTTACCGTACAACACCGTTTCAGCAACATTGCCATCGTCAGGTACAAATAAACAATGATGCCATGCAGTCCTCAAAAGAGCAGTTTTGTACAAATATCCTTCCCCAAAAATGGCATACTTATACAAGCGTTTCGGAGACAACTACTTCAGTATCTCAACCAAGAGAACACACTGTGCGGTGACCAATCTTTTAAACAGACTCAGTTCACGCATGGATGCAGTGTATGCAGCGCAGGTGAGTGTAGCGGCGAGAAAATTGTTTTGCTTGAAGTGGGAATGAACATGATGGATTCACTTTGAAAATTGTAGTCTTCCCTTACTAGTGGACGGTTCAGAACATTTTTCGTTTCACATGTATATTTCACATTATTATCTCTAACGTGTTTGTTAATATAGTAGTTATCCATCACCAATAAAGAATGGCTATCTCACAGTTTGTTCCCTTGGTTGCGATATCAAAAACATACGCTTGGTCTGGACAATTCAGCAAAAGAACGGGGAGTTCCTCCATAGCGTTCATCTATAGCTCCTTGAAAGGCTCGTATTGAAACCTTTCGGTGGGATTTCACTTTCTAACCCCAGTGCAGCATTTATCACTATGAAAACATTCTGCAACCTACGAGGAGACAGTAGTCGTAAAACGGCAATGAATAAAACTAATTGTGCACTCATGAGTCATAACCATGTACATGTACAAAACAATAATTATTACTAAAATTTGATAACCGCAATCAATAAAATTAGCTGAACCGACATTTGTGTACTTTATTCATGCAATGTAAAAACTGTGGAGACGATGTGCAATAAAACGATGAAAATATGAAGAAATGGTGTAGAGAAAAAATATGGATTCAAACAAGTTTTCGTACAACACTCATCAGGAATCGTCGTTGTACTAAAGGACACTGAAACAAAAATTGAACTATTATAGAAAATCAAAGTTAGAGAAATAACACTAAGAGCAACAGCAGTGAAATTTACAAGTGTGAATTTTAACAATCAAAGCGGGAAATGTATTACTAAAATGAAAAAAATCCATAAAGTTTTCTCGCGACTATCACCAGTGGAACATTGTCACATGGTAAAAATCACTAAAACAACCAGTTATATAGCTAGAATAATATTCACAAAATAGCAGCTCGCTGTTACACATAGCGTCAATTACATCAGCAGTGTGAGTTTATGTATTACAATGTAAATGTGAAAATTGCAGCGGTAAATGGATGAGGCAGCTATGTCACATGTGTGCGTGTGTGGACAACAAAGGGCGAGTGCGTATTATTTGAAGAGTGTGAGTGCTACAACGTTTTCTTTCTTTCGTTATGGAATTTTTTCATTAAGTAATAATTATTGTTTTAAACATGTACATGGTTATGACTCATGAGTGCACAATTAGTTTTATTCATTGCCATTTAAAAAAACGTTCTGTATTGCAATAATACCAACACTTACAGAGAGAGAGGTTCCAGAGAGGTTCAGAGAGGTTCCAGGCGGTACAAGAGAGTGCTCAATACCGAGAGGCAGAGCTGTTTCACACAATAAGACGACGGAGAAAGTGTTTTTACTCTGAGTTTCACGCACTAAGCGATCATCAGAAAACAGTTTTCTGATGATCGCTTAGAGTGCGTGAAACTCGGAGTAAAAACACTTTCTCAGTCCTCTTGTTATGTAATACCAACACTTACACTGTTGCTGTTCTCTTTATGGAGTCCAATGTAGCGGTGGACACTGTGGCCAACTTATTACCACTCAAGTCACTGGAGATGGGAAGAGAGACGCACAGAGAGAATAGGAAAGGGTAGGGTAGGGAGATGCAGGACAGAGAGGGAGAGAGAGAGAGAGAGAGAGAGAGAGAGAGAGAGAGAGAGAGAGAGAGAGAGAGAGAGAGAGAGAGAGAGAGAGAGAGAGAGAGAGAGAGAGAGAGAGAGAGAGAGAGAGAGGGAGGAGGGGGGGGAGAGAGAGAGAGAGTCTGTTGAGGTAAGGTGAGGCAGAAGGCAATTCCAGAACTTTCCAATCTTGTGAAAAAGGATGGTGGTAATGTGCCTTGTGCTTGTGTTCCCTTCCATATTGGTCACCCCCAACAACTGTCACCTTTCCCGCAAACATTCTTACGCTGAGTGTTGGAGCTACCGCCTAGTCATAACAAGCGCCTGACTGAATGCATAATATCTCCAAGCAGCTTCATAACAGTGAAAAGAGCGCAGATAATAGAGAGGTGCACGATATTTCCGACGTGACGCGCAATTTCACGTCAAATTTGGCGTAAAACTCCTAATTTCGACGCGAGCTGCAGGCCACTCGCATTGTTTTTTCGACGCACAAGCCAAATAACACGAACTGAACTTTTGCGTCACGTTAGAAATAACGTGCATCTTAACCTCTCTAGTGTGGCTTGGACAACCCCGCCGTTTGCACAAATCTCCTTACAGAGTGACGAGTGCGCCAAGGCCGGAGTATGTGCCGGGAAGGATAGTCGTGAGCAGATTATCTGCAATCTTCCTGTGACAGCAGAAACATAGATTAGAAGAAAGCATACGATCAATGAAACAAATTCAATGCTAATTGGATAGGAACACTTACATGTACATTCATGATATTCTTGTTTGTTGTTTCATAATGTCCGCCACACGGATATTATTCATCGCATTAAAGAAGGATGGTTTGATCATATTTGGTGAAGATCAGTTTTCATACACACACACACACACACACATACACGCACACGCGCACACACACACACACACACACACACACACACACACACACACACATGCACACACACACACACACACACACACACACACACACACACATACACACACGCACACACATACACACACAGACATTTTTCACACGCACGCATGCAGCACTGGTCCATTGGCGAGGAGGAGAGAAAGAAAAACACGGATGTGCACAGATGTGCTGGTTCGTTGAGAATGCTTGTTTATAATATTGTGCTGCATCAAAGAGGGACGACTGTGTACACATTATGTATGTTTGGAAATGACCTATACTACAGCTGCATTAGATTGCACAATTGCTTCTAAACAGAGGGAACCTTACTTACAGGACCTGAAGTGTGCTTGCTAATGGCTTGAACGTGTTCGGGTGAATGCTGGCAAGTCTATTATTGTCCAAGATCCTATCAGGGAATATCATCAGAAGAAACGCGAAATGTGTCGGAAGGGTTATTGATAGAAACACAACCAATCCACAGCCAACGAACACCGATTCGTTGGGACATTTTTTTCTCCAGAACTCATCGGGCATCTGAAGAACGTTAGATTGGGGATGCACTCAACCTTGTATATAAAAATATAGGGTATAACAGATAGCGAATAACAATGTAAGACTTAAATGGAGAGCCAAGGATTAAATGAAACTTGTCAGCACCTTCTAGGTTCAGGCAGGCCCCATAGCTCAGTGGTTAGAGCATTGGTCATGACAAGCAAGGTCCCGGGTTCGAGTCCTGGTGGGTCTGGCATTTTTTTCTCTTTCGAGGCAGCTCACTTCCCCAACTGATCCTTTGAATTTGTGAAGTTCTCCCAATCCTTTATTAAAAAATAATAACCTTCCCCTCTTTGGTCTTTCCATAACCTTGAACCTTCCAAGTTGGAAGGCTGTCGGTTAGTGCTGCGGAGATGTGTTGAAGCTAGGTGTCAGGACGTCGAATGTCTCAGTACTCTGTCAGTTTTGTGCCTAGTTGTTGCACTTTCTGACTGTATATAGCATCTGGTTACAGTGACGGAGAGTTACTCTTAATTCGTATCCATATTTCCTTTTCCTTTCTACAATAATAAAATAAAAATAAATAAATAAAATAGCGAATAACAATGACTGTCATCGTCATACCCAGTCGCCAATTGACTGAATCTTTTTAACATCGCGAATAGCAGCGCTTTTCTCATAGCCGGCCGCCATTATTCGCAAGGTTGAAGTACACAGTTGTACTAGGGATGTGAACTCTTTCTTGGAAGAAGATTGCATAAATAGTCGGCAGAGTCATCAATGCCCCACCATCACTGCTGCGTCTTGGTACAGTGCCTGCTCACTAGTTGTCAGTTTGTCCTAGTCTCCATACCATTGTCTTTCCTTATTCTTCTCGAGCTGGTTATGTGAACATATTAAAAAATATAATAAAATAAAACGATGAAAATATGAAGAAATGGTGTAGGGAAAAAATATATGGATTCAAACAAGTTTTCGTACAACACTCATCAGGAATCGTCGTTGTACTAAAGGACACTGAAACAAAAATTGAACTATTATAGAAAATCTAAGTTAGAGAAATAACACTAAGAGCAACAACAGTGAAATTTACAAGTGTGAATTTTAACAATCAAAGCGAGAACTGAACAATTTCAATTTTTGTTTCAGTGTCCTTTAGTACAACGACGATTCCTGATGAGTGTTGTACGAAAACTTGTTTGAATCCATATATTTTTTCCCTACACCATTTCTTCATATTTTCATCGTTTTATTGCACATCGTCTCCACCGTTTATATAATAAAATAAATAAATAAATACACCCATTTGGAATGCACTAAATGAAGAAGCAAGGAAGAAAACACGAGAAATGCCCCTACAGTAAAGTTATGCATGCCAGTTGATAGGACACTAACAAGGTGACGATGGCAAGACTTTGGAACGCATCCTTGTCCATTGTCTGCAGACCATTACTGTCCAGTAGTCTTGAGGAGGAGTGACAACAGAAAACAACACCAAACGAAACAATTAAAATACTTATGTGAAGACAAGAAAAGATGACGTTTACGACAATGAAGGGGGCTGGGAGGGGGTTGGGAGGTTGCCTGGAGTGAGCTGGGGGGGGGGGGGGGCTGTGAGGGGGGCTGTGGGAGGCTGTGGGGGCTGTAGGGGCCTTGGGGGGCTGTGGGGGGCTGTGGGGGTGGGGTGTGGGGGCTGGGGGGGGGGGGGGGGGTTGTGGCTACTCATTCTAGTTAGTAACAGTTTGAAATAATAATAATAATAAACACAGTTCGCATGTAGCCCAAACAAAGAATTATTATGGGATTAACACATCTGTATGCAGCAATAAATTAGGTGAAACATTCGAATCTGACGTACAATTCATAGTAGCTAGTAGTAGGGGCTACCTGGACAAATTCAGGGGACATGGGAAAGTTGAGATCCAGTAAAATCAAAATCAAATTTCATGCAGAGTCAGTACATCTGTGTGCAATATCCAGCCAAACTTTCCGATCACTGCCCAACTGCAAGAGTTAAAGAGTTCCTGTTAAAAAAGGCATTCCACTGAACATGAAAGCCAGACCACAACAGCAATCACTTACAGGCCCTTCACCCTTGGGAAGTCCCTGAAGGATCGCGCAGGAAGATACCTCACTGCACATGTGTCCAACACGCTGAAACAGGGGCCAAAGAAGAACAAAGAGAAGCAAGAAAAAGCGATTTAAACACAGCACGCGTCACAATTTCACAATCAAAGAAAATGACATCCTGACGTGATAACTACAAAACAGAGAGGTTTTAGGCTGTCCAATAGAGTGCACAAAATACCGAAAGGCAGAGCTAGTTCCAACAAGAACGAGCAGATGGAAAAGGAGTTCCACTCCGAGTTTACCGCACTAAGCGATCATCGGAAAATGTTTTGTGATGTCAGATCGTTTAATAGTGCGTGAAACTCGGAGTAAAACATCCATTACATGCTCTTATTGTCGTTGATGTCATAACAGTGCAGATGAGTGGCACAAAGTGTCCCTTTTCAATGGCTACTCTTCTTGTTTTTTTTGTTGGAAATAGTGGTTACGACTTTGGCGATGATTGCTAGGAAAGGGTTTGCTCCCCACACTGGAGCTAGTGCTATTCCGTCGACTTGACTCGACACTTGGCTGACTCACGACTGCCATCCAGAGCACACGAGAAGTCCATCGAACCTTCGACTCGTGTTGTTTGTTTGTTTCTTTTATTTTACTTCACCAAGTGAACAGGCATTACTACCTTCTCACCAGGTCCACAGACCTAGTTCCTACAAAATGATGAAGAGCATTCAGAAGAGTAAATGAAAATATAATAACCGACGAGGAGACAACAGTCGTAAAAATATTAATAGCAATGAAAAATATCAATTGTGCACTCATAACCATGTATAAACAATTAAAATGAAACAATTCCAGAACGTTTTCGTGTGACCATCATCAGTGGAACATCGTCACATAGTAAGAATCACTAAAACAACAATAATAATTATATATTCGTGTGTATATATTCGCACACGTGACCCTGTTCTATGCAAGCAAAAAGAAAATGTTGTAGCACTCACACTTTTTAAATAATACGCACTCACCAGTTTTTTGCCCACACGCACTCACAGCTGCCACATTCATCTGCTGCTACCATTCTCAGATACACTGCAAAGGTTCACACTACACGCGTTATGCATAACCGCTAGCTGTGCTGCATTCTCACGCTTCTTTTCATATTACTCTAGCTATATAACTGGTTGTTTTAGTGATTCTTACTATGTGACGATGTTCCACTGATGATGGTCACACGAAAACGTTCTGGAATTGTTTCATTTTAATTGTTTATACACGGTTATGAGTGCACAATTGATATTTTTCATTGTGAAAATATAATATGTATATAATGATTAAAATCACAAAGTGCCTGAAGTCCTTGCTGCAAATAGTACTCAACACCCTAACAAGGGCAGAGCGTACTACACAAGGCAGAACAACAGAGACCAAAAACCGTTTTCGTTACTCCGAGTTTCGTGTTTATGAACACGAAACTCGGAGTAACGAGAAAGATTTTTGGTCTCTGTTGTTCTGCCTTGTGGAATGATTTTGAATCATGCAGACGATTATCTCAAGGGGGACGCTGTCAGAGTGTGCAAAGTATCGTGATGATCACACAAAAAAATGAGTTACAAAATGAGTTTTAGTAAGTACAGTTAAAAAAACCTATCAAGGGACCATCAAACGGTAGTCTTTGTTACCAGGTGGTCTCCCTATCCAGGGTCGTTTGACTGGAAACACCATCCCTTGATTCTGGTTTCAGTGGTCTTGTAGGACAGGTGGTCACCTTATTTGAGTGGTCGCCTTGACAGGTCTCACTCTACTCAGATGGTGAGCCAAGAAAAACATTTAAAATGAAAACGAGGAAAACAGTGTCAGTCTGGTGCTACCAGTACCTTGTGCATGTCTGACTGTTCAATACCTAGTTTAGTTAGTGGACTCAGACGCATAACCTGTGCCCTCCATTTTCTTGGCTTCCATTTACAAATTAGTTTTTAAAAGCAGACGTTCAAGTAGCACTCAGTTTGGACGTGACTCACAGAATGGTGAACAATGACGTGTCGGCGGTGAACTTGGGTACGGCCGTGATTTGCGGGTCGGTGCACATCAGTGCCCCGGTGACAGACTGACAGCTGACGCCGCTAAAGTTGGTTGCCAATGGTGACGTCGCCACTTTACCAACTGAGTAGACAAAAAAATGAATTTTTTTCATTAGAAACGTTTTCCACTGCCTTATTTTGGGCAGCCAAAACTAACACACACAAACAAGCACACACACACACACACATGCACACATGCACACATGCACAGATACACACATGCCCACATGCACACAAAGCAGGTATATGATGGTATAGGAAGTAAAATGAGAGATATGAACAAGCGGCGCTGAGACAATAACTTTAATAAGGCAATAAGCAGAATCAGCAAAGCGCACATTCAACGTAGTCATGAACAAAAATTAAAGATGGATAAAAAAGTTGCATAAAAAGGTTTCCGAACACGTTTTCTAGAGACATTCATCAGGGAAAATACGTCTCAATACTGAAATCTAGTAATAAACACCCACCAACATACCCATGCGCGTACTCCTTACACTTCACCCTCTCTGAGTCTCACATCGTTATTATTTCTCACCTGCCCACAACTGTTATTAGTTCACACTTCTCTTGTCTTTCGCACTTCACCTTCTTTTCTCCTATTTTCTTTAACATGCTGCATGTCGTACTCTTCCACGTATATATCGTTGTTTATTGCTAGATTTCAGTTTTTTCCCTGATGAATGTCCCTAGAAAACGTGTTCGGAAACTTTTCTATCCAACTTTTTTATCCATCTTATATTTTTGTTCATGACTACGTCCAATGTCCACTTCACTGATTCTGCTTATTGTCTTATTAAACTGAGAGAACGCAGCAGATATCTACACCGCACATTAGCACGATATCCCTCAGGAAATTTACAGCTGACTATGCCTATGCAATCAACGGAATTCCGCCACCTTGCAGTTGATTTTCCCCATTTCTCTCCTCATCAATCCCTACTTCTCTTTGCACATACATCTACATCTACTGTTCTTTCAATCAAATGAACCCCTCGATAGGCACATTGCCTTTGGGTCATTTCATAATAATAATAATAATAATAATCTGGTAAGGGCGGAACTGTAGCATAACTCACGATTGCAATATACAGAGGTCCACGTTGGCTTAGCTACGCTGCCAATAGGACGTTGGCAGGTCATCTTATGGGACTTGGTGTTGTATCCGGCATTGCACAGAACGTAAGCGACAGCGCCAATACCGTTGCTGTTTGGTTTGATGGCAAGATAGCCATTGAGTGGAGCAGTTGGAGGGTTGCAGAGATCCACAGCTGAAGGGTGAGGTTTGGGGGCGATGGCTGCAGCTACATGAGTGACAAAACAAAATATGAGGTTGAACTTTGAGAGAGCTTGAAAGTAGACAAACAAATGAAATTATTTCATTAGAAACGTTTTCCACTGCCTTATTTTGGGCAGCCAAAACTAACGCACACGTGCGTGCGCACACACACACACACATTTCATTTCACGGTTCGCGTCAGACTCGGTTTCTCTATATAGAGGCCGAGTTTTCCGCATCCGTAGGAACGCCACCACCCTTCAAGGATCAAGGCACAGATGCAGCTCCTAAAGCGGTGGGAGGTGAGTAGATCAGCTCACCATCATGTGGTCAAAGACTGAAAATCCCATTCACTGCATCCATGTTTTCCTCGTGCCAGGCCACGAGTTCCCAATTAACTGTGGATCGCAGCACGGCTGGAAAAATTCCTTCCGCTTCCAAGCAGGATTTGAACCTGGTACCCTCTGTTTCTCAATCATGGTCTTAGACCATCCCATTATGACACACACACACACAAACACACACACACACACACAAATGCACACACACAAACGCACACACAAAAACACACACAAACACACATACAACTGACACAAACACATAGAAGTGTAGTGGCATATATCTCAACATGAATGGATGGACAGACAGACAGACGGAGAAATAAATAAGCAGATGGTCTGACAAAAAGGAAAGATAACTACCCACATAGGGACAGAGCAAGGGAAGCAGGTCAGCAAAACTGGAAAAATTCGTAATAGAACAATCTCAATCTTATGCAGAGCTCACTGACTTGACAGTTTGAGCACTCTGGCAAAGGTACATTTGGGCTTGGTTGAAATCTGGCTTTGGAAAATGTATTTTTCATTGCTACCAGCTTTGGCTTCGTTTTCTCTGTGCTGCACTCATGAGTCCACAAAGGTCAAAACAGTTCTGTCTGCAGATTGAGTAATAGAACAATCTCCAACTGATCCCCAAGTCAGTGAGTAATGCTTCATGCCACACATGCTTACGATAATGATAGTAAGCGCATACTTGCACATGTAAGCACATACATAGACACATACACACGGACACACGCGTGCACACACACATGCATGCATGTGCGAGCACACACACCTCACCTGCACACACACACACACCTTTGACCTTTGACCTTTGACGCCCATCGCCGGAGGCGATGATAGCAATGCTACGGCAGAAGCCATAGCAACTTGTGCTGGGATTACACCATTCAACAGCTTGCAAGGCTGAAGAATTGACCATCACTATTCAGCCTGGTCTACACCATACAGCTATTTGAAGTGACTTTTCTGGCCAGTGAATCCCTATTTTTGGTCTTTTTTCTTTTTTTTCTTTTTTTTCCCGCTCACACATCACACCCACATACTCCGGCATGCACTGGCTGTTGGTAACCACCCAGGAGAATGAAAGAAAAGTCAGGACGAGTCTGAGAAAGAGAAGAAAGACGTGTGTGACCATAATCGTCGGGAATCGAACCCGCAACCTATCGATTGGAAATCGCTGCACATACCACTGCACCATATGGGACACACACACACACACACACACACACACAGATACAGAAACACACAAACAAAAACAAATATGCACACACACACATGCACACATGCACACAAAGCAGGTATTTGATGGTATAGGAAGTAAAATGAGAGAACGCAGCAGATATCTACACCGCACATTAGCACGATATTTAGAAAGGAGGGAACTGGAGCATAACTCACGATTGCAATATACAGAGGTCCATGTTGGCTTAGCTACGCTGCCAGCAGGACGTTGGCAGGTCATCTTATGGGACTTGGTGTTGTATCCGGCATTGCACAGAACGTAAGCGACAGCGCCAATACCGTTGCCGTTTGGCTTGATGGCAAGATAGCCATTGAGTGGAGCAGTTGGAGGGTTGCAGAGATCCACAGCTAAAGGTTGAGGTTTGGGAGTGATGGCTGCAGCTACATGAGTGACAAAACAAAATATGAGGTTGAACTTCGAGAGTGCTTGAAAGAAGACAAACAAATGAAATTATTTCATTAGAAACGTTTTCCACTGCCTTATTTTGGGCAGCCAAAACTAACGCACACGTGCGTGCGCACACACACACACACACAAATGCACACAAACACACAAACGCACACACAAACACACATACAGCTGATACACATACACAGACATGGAGTGGCATATATCGCAACATGAATGGATGGACAGACGGACAGACAGAGAGATAAATGACCAGATGGTCAGACAAAAAGAAGAAGAAAAAACTACCCACATAGGGACAGAGCAAGGGAAGCAGGTCAGCAAAACTGGAAAAATTTGTAATAGAACAATCTCAATCTTATGCAGAGCTCACTGACTGGGCAATTTGAGCACCCTGGGAATGGTACGTTTGGGCCTGGTTTAAATCTGGCTTTGGAAAATATATTTTTCATTCCTACCAGGTTTGGCCTTATTTCCTCTGTGCTGTGCTCATGAGTCCACAAAGGTCAAAACAGTTCTGTCTGCAGATTGAGTAATAGAACAATCTCCAACTGATCCCCAAGTCAGTGAGTAATGGTTCATGCCACACATGCTTACGATAATGCTACGGAGCGCATACTTGCACATGTAAGCACATACACAGACACATACACACACGTGTGCGTGCGTGCACACACAGACACATACACACGAGAAAATGAGAGAATGCAGCAGATATCTACACCGCACATTAGCACGATATTTAGAAAGGAGGGAACTGGAGCATAACTCACGATTGCAATATACTGAGGTCCACGTTGGCTTAGCTACGCTGCCAGCAGGACGCTGGCAGGTCATCTTATGGGACTTGGTGTTGTATCCGGCATTGCACAGAACGTAAGCGACAGCGCCAATACCGTTGCCGTTTGGCTTGATGGCAAGATAGCCATTGAGTGGAGCAGTTGGAGGGTTGCAGAGATCCACAGCTAAAGGTTGAGGTTTGGGAGTGATGGCTGCAGCTACATGATTGACAAAACAAAATATGGGGCTGAACTTCGAGAGAGCTTGAAAGCTCAGCGCCCTATGCTAATGGTTTTTTTTCCAAGACCCTCATGCACGTTATTTAAACTGATGGAAACATGTTTGCAATATAATCATCGGCTACATCATTGTATTGCAAAAACGTTTCCATCAGTTTGAATAACGTGCATGATGACCGAGGCAAAAAAAAAGCTTAGCGAGGGCCCTGAGCTTTCAAGCGCTCTCGTATTATGCTATTACACTATCTTATTTGATTTTTTTTCTTTCCCTTTTTCCAATCCATAACCTGGGATCCAACCTGCACTATCGTCCTGCGCTGCATGCATTCCCTCGATACACTTCTAATGCACATACAGTCTACCTAGTGGCTTCACTTTGTGGTCCAGCAGTTGAAAGCCGTATTTCAACATGTGGCCAGCAGTCTTTGCCGGCATGGCACGAGACATGCACGGGATAGGGGCAGCCATGGTGCGTCACGTGATGACGGCCCTATGCCCACGGACCGTAGTCACCACACACTGAGCTTGTTCGAGCAAGATCACGTCTTTTCTCCTGCCGACTGGATGCCTGTTCAGCGGTCTCTTGCTGGCGACGCATCTTGTCACGAAGTCAGCGAGTCTCCAAACAACGGGATATTTGCTCCGTTGTTGCTTTTTGTCGATGTAGCCTCTCGCGAGCACGGCGACTCTCGAGGTGGTGGTACCTCTCTTCTCCCATCATTATGATATTTCATGCCAATCGCCCAATTTGTCAGATGTGAGTAAATTTTGCAACTGGATAGAGTGGTTGTGATTGCCAAGCCCCAGCATTTGCACTTCAACTGCTTTTCAACTGCACGTTCACATGCTTTGAGCCTGGAGTGCATCCAATAGTTCATCAGGGGCGCAATACAGCGTAGTATGACGAAGTGCACCATATTTTCCGGGGTGCGTTAGCCGCACCGGAGCCCACGCCGCAAAGCAGTCATATGAAGGTACTTGAAGTAAGTGAGAGAACACAACCGATATCTACACCGCACTAGGGTACCCTGTAAAAAGACTTACAGTCTGTGGGGATTCCCCTCGTAAAATAATAAATACTACTACAGGTGAAAAAAACAGGTGAAATCCGGATAATTCGAACCTCAAAATGCCAGGAAAAAACTTCTTACTATCCGGACATTCTAATTATCCAAACATGAACCCACAACTCAATATGTATGTCAAAATGCTCTCATGGTCACGCAGAGTTGCGCTATGGACCTTAGACACAAATTTTACGGATACTGAACTGACCAGCACAGCCTGCTCATGCAAACTGAACTGACCAGTACAGCCTGCTCAACTAAACTGACCGGCACAGGCTGCTCAACTGAACTGACCAGTACAGTGTACAGTGAACTTCGAATTACACTTTGCTAACTTCGAATTATCAGCACAAATCCCACACATTTTCTATGTAAGTGGAATCTTTGGGACTTCTAATCAACCGTGCATGTCCAGTTCGAGGTTTGAATTATCAGGATTTTTTTGTGGGAATGGTATTGATAGAAATCGGTCCTGGAAAAACTTCTAATTAAGCGGTATGTTCGAATTAAGCCATATTCGAATTATCAGGATTCCACCTGTACTACTACTACTACTACTACTACTGCTACTTGTTACTTTGATATGTAGAAAGGAGGGAACTGTAGCATAACTCACGATTGCAATATACTGAGGTCCACGTTGGCTTAGCTACGCTGCCAGCAGGACGTTGGCAGGTCATCTTATGGGACTTGGTGTTGTATCCGGCATTGCACAGAACGTAGGCGACAGCGCCAATACCGTTGCTGTTTGGCTTGATGGCAAGATAGCCATTGAGCGGAGCAGTTGGAGGGTTGCAGAGATCCACTGTTGCCAGGTAGGCTTTGGTCCGTGCTGTGATAGCTACAAAATACATGAAAGACACAGCAAGATTATGAATCTGAAGATATATCGGCACCAGTTGACTCAAACATATCCATAAGGCATAAATTCGTTAAATTTTAGTATGTTTCCATGGAACGGTGGGAGCTGCAGTTTGGGTAACGTGACCGTGACACTGGATTTGCTTGACACAGATAACCCCAAAATAGACTGCATGAATGTGTGGGTCATATTGTCACAAGTTGACTCTGGCTCTGGATTTTGATAAGTGACTCCATGGACTTCATGAGAGCCACGGCTGTTACGGGGAGGTCACCTGGCAAGATGGCGGCGACCTGTAGCAACACCCTGGCAACAGCGGTCACACGGAAAGCGTGGGCACGCTCATCGCATTTTTCAAATTTTCATGATCATTTCCGCAGAAAGAAAAGGTTCTGTCACTTGAAATACTTTTATGGATTTCGTCTCTTCAGTCTCTTGCTCGTCAAAAAATGTTGTTGGAGGCAGCTGTGCTCCGCGAAGTGCAACGGATACCGCTAAGTAGCAGATAAAGGAGATGTGCCTCGCAGGACTCTTTCGCAAAATGACGACCTGCGCGTCGGATCAGAGGAGAATTTTTTGTCAAGTGTACTCAATCTCCGGACAGTTATAGCTGTTTCGACCTTGTTAGGTCTCATCAGGGGAGCTCAGAGTGTGTGGCCGAACAGATCAGCATGAATTAATTTCGACCTTGTTAGGTCTCATCAGCGGAGCTCAGAGTGTGTGGCCGAACAGATCAGCAAGAATTGATTTCAACCTTGTTAGGTCTCATCAGAGGAGCTCAGAGTGTGTGGAATTAATTTCAACCCTGTTAGGTCTCATCAGAGGAGCTCAGAGTGTGTGGTCGAACAGATCAGCAAGAGTGTTTGACCAAGAAGACCACATGTTGAGATGATCCACCAAATACCTGCTCCTTGAGAGTGGAGCATGGCACAGCAAATTGGACGCTGTGCCCTAATGTTGTCCCTGCCCTTTTGGCACGTGTGTGCCCCTTTTGGCACGTGCAGGTTGCGCATGCGTGCATGCTTATCGTGCGCATCCTGATTGTTTTTGGGTGCCTTCTTCCTGAGACTCTCCTTGGAGTAAGACGAAAACAATCTGTCCTCTGAGTGTGGCGTGCGTGTGATGTATAAGAGAGTAATCGGAAGGGCTATCGTGCGAGGGATTAAAACCCCCCGACGACAATTGGCGCCCAGCTAGTGGCATCGTTTCCCACGACCCTGAGATCGTTTTCGTTTTCGCCGTGGCTTCAAATCTTGTCTTCTCCACGCGTCCTCGCCATGGCTCCGCTTTGCTCCATCTGCTCAACCCTGTCCTCGGAGCTCCTACTCAGGTGAGCATGCTTTGTCTGCCCTGCGTAATGTTTGGTACCTTGTACGTAGTTCTCCTGGTACTAGTCTTCGATTTGGGATTTTCAAAATAATTGTTTCGCTTCGTGGCATTGAAGTCCCGGGTTGTTCTCTTGTGTACAAGTACCTCGTTCGAGCCTCGCTCTTGTTAGTACATGACTGTGGCCCACGTTGTGTGTGCGGTGTTTTGAACCAGTGTACATTGTCGCCCTCCGGCCTCTGGCTGTTCGAGTGGTCGTGTGCACTGTGTTTTCACACCTTCTGACTTGAAAGTTCTGTTGTCCGTGCTGTCGTGCATGCTCATCGTGTTGCTTGGTACGTCATCATGGTAGTCAGCATGGGTAGCTTTGCTCGTGTTTGCTTACTCGCCCTGTGTTGTGCACTGGTGCACGTCGTTTCGGTGTCGTCGGACTGCTCCGATCCTGTGTCGTCCGATTTGTTTCAGTTTGGTAGATGTCCCCATCGATTTACTCGATGTGGTGGCACTCCGTCGTTTCCAGTTTCAAGTACAAGTGCTTTCTTTTTCGTTTTACTAGTAATCATGTTTTGTGTCGAGCGTTTTAGTGCTCCGCCTGGTTGTCCCGCTCATGTGGAATGGCTGACGCCCAGTGGTGTAACATGCTTCTGAGATTCTCGTTGACGGTCCGGGTGGCAATATTTCTGTGAGTGTGTTGTTTGGTATTTGTGTTTTGGCACGTGGGTCTCTTCATTTCACCTAGGGGGGCGTCCGATCATGGTGAGCCACGGTCTGCCTGGTGGGCTGGTGGGATCCAGCGCTTATTTGCATCGGTTCGCCTTGCGGGTGTTCGGTTTCCGTGTTTTGCTGGCTGGCCTTTGTGCGTCCCAGTAGGGTTCAGGACGGTGTTTTTTTGTGTTTCGTGAGCGGATGTGTTTCACGCGTGATATTCAGGTTCAATCCCTGTGGGTTTTTTCAGGCTAGAGACCTGTGGTTTTTTTCAGGTTAGAGGCCTGTGGTTATTCAGGGTAGCGCCCTGTGGTTTTTCTATGTTAATTTTTGTTTGCGTATTGGTGACCGATTTGTTTGTGTGCTATCTGGTGTCCTCATGGATAGACTGCCCCTGTATCCGTAGGCGTGTTCAATGTTGCTGTTCTGCCATTCCTTCTTGTGGTTTTTCTTGTCTGAATTTTGGCTCCTAGTATTGCTGAGATGTTTGCGTCAGTCCGTGTTTCTTTCTTTCTGTGTATGTCTCTGTGAGTTTTCGTAGCCCCATCGGCTGCGCGATGGTTTTCCGGACAACTCCTGTGCTGTCAGATGACTGGTCACCCGGTTCAGCTGCCGCGGTCTTCGCAGTAGCGTCGGTTTGCCTTGGCTTCGCACCAGGGCGAGGTGGTTGTTTTCCGGGGGCCCACGCCTGAAAGATGGCGGTTCCCTCTATGGGTGGGCCCAGTCTGTTTTCTTTCCACCCCTTTGCTTTGGATTTTCCCCCGTTGTCCGGAGTTACTAATGTATCCTAATGTTTTGGCCCTGCGTATCTGCATGTGTATGTTGTTCACATTTGATTTCTTTTTCTCCTGGCAGTCTTCTCGTTTTGTTTTCTTCTCTCCCATCCTCAGGAGAGGATGCATTTTTTTTCATGTGGAAGTATGTTGTCCCTGCCCTTTTGGCACGTGTGTGCCCCTTTTGGCACATGCAGGTTGCGCATGCGTGCATGCTTATCGTGCGCATCCTGATTGTTTTTGGGTGCCTTCTTCCTGAGACTCTCCTTGGAGTAAGACGAAAACAATCTGTCCTCTGAGTGTGGCGTGCGTGTGATGTATAAGAGAGTAATCGGAAGGGCTATCGTGCGAGGGATTAAAACCCCCCGACGACACTAATGTTCTCAACATGGCACTGCATGCAAGCGTAACTGTCATTTGGAGTCTGATTCCGGGCTGGCATTGCTGCGTTGGCGCTTCTTGGGCTGTGGACGGAGAGCCACGTTCCTTGGCAGAGTGCTGAGGCGGTGTTGCTCAGCAGAGGTTTTCAGCCTCGCAAGGGTTGATGGTATTGCTGAGAACTTATTCTCAAAGAGGTTCTTTACTTCCTTGTGGATGCTCTCCATGCCCTGCTCGTTCAACAACCCCAATCCCATGCCGAAGTGCTGCATACAAGGAAGGACATGGCACTCGAGAAGGTGAAGCTTAGGAGTCACATTGCCTAACTTGCGTGCCGCAACCTCCGCTCTGCAGGTGGCCATGAAGGTGTGGTTGGCACCACCCAGAACCTGCCTTGTTGCTGTTGTAAAAACCAGCTTGCCGCTGAACAGCTTGCGACATGGTGCATACTCTGTGAAGAGTCTCGAGTAGCAATCTCTCAAGTACTTTGCCTCGGCAAGCAGCTGAACCTCGGCGTTGTCGGCAGGTGTGCGGCTCTGCACAACTGTAAGGGGAACAGAAGTGAGGGCAGCAATGACATCCGGTTTCAACGCATGTGGTTGCCGACAAATGCTCTGGAGTGATATGCTTGCCGCTTTATTTGGTACTGTTGCAGTACTGCTTCCAAGGAAGTTACGCACGGGCCAGCTGCTTTATAATCTTGTTCTGTTAATTTCTCATACTCTTTTCGAGCCACGTCACATCTATCATTCATTAATTTGAGTTCCTTTTCTTTCTCCTTCCATAGGAAGTGCAGATTTGATGCCACAGTCTGCAAGCCAGCAGCCACTACTTCTTCCTGCTGCTGCTTGTGCAGCATCACACACTGCAGCTGCCTAAGAATGCTTTGTGCTTCTAACTGTAGGTGTAGTTGTTGTGTTGCTGTATCGTGTACGTTCTTGTAGGCCTTGATAAGTGCTGTAAACGCTGCAGAGTCACCGTCATCTGCAGCAAGAAACATACCGTATTTTACCGGTTGTAAGTCGACCCCGGTTATAGGTCGACCCCCATATCCGGAGGTCTCAATTCTGCGTTTTAAAGTGTTCACCCAACGAAGCACTACTAACCACTCCCTGCTACTAACACATCAACAAATCATGTAAACATTCCTTATTGGAGAGTATAACTTCCCAATTCTTTAGAAAGGCCAATAAACTGCCAAAAATGTATACACATGGTGCTCTCGTGCATGCAGTGCAGGTCATTTTTGCAAGATACTGATAGTTCCCGGTTATAAGTCGAATCCCGGTTGTAAGTCGACCCCCAGCTTTTCTCCTTCTATTTTTAGTCGTTAAAGGTCGACTTACAACCGGAAAAATACAGTACCTTTGCTCAGTGCAATATCAATTTGATGTGCGTCAGAAAATCCAGGGATAAATCCCTAGATCTAGGTGGAGCACAGGAATACACACGTCTTGCAACTCAACAGGAAGAATGGCTTTTCTAATCACGTTGTTGTACCACCTCGCGTGCTGCAAGTTGGCACCTGCTGCAACCAACTCTGCATTTAAAAAGCGTTCCGGCAGCAAGTCAGCAATTATTGCTTTGTATGGCGGTGATGCAAGGTCGTACAGTTTCATCAGGGGAATATCCATGCCAATTGTTGCATCATCAGTTTTCGAAAACTGTGGTCCGTCTGGAACGTGCAAAATCGGTACAAAAATCGGAACCCATCAGATTATTGACTTTTGTTTGAGTTTGACTCGTACTCGACTCGACACGGCTATTAGGTACACTTGGGTCAAGGCAACTCAGTCCTTTGCATGTGAAACCTAAAATTCTATGACTAAAAATTAGTAAAAAATGTGCCATAAGTACCCAAAACACAGGATTTTGTGTCTTTTTTATACAAATTTCCCGGGGGAGCCCGCTTCCCAGCCCCCTCCGTCCTTTGGTTCCCAAGCCCCTCCTACGCCCCTTCCTCAAGCCATTGCAAAATGCAGTAAAACCTGTGTTTGCCGAACCCTGCACCAACGCAGAGTCCTGTGTTGACCGGGCAGATTTTCATGTACAAAATGCTGCGGATCAAACGTGCATCCCTGGATCAAGCGGAATCCTGTCGTATCAGGGCAGTCGTCGCTGCACCAAGGGCATCCGGTTAGTGCAGGCTTTCGAAAAAAAGAAAAAAATTCGACGGGTTCGCGTACCGGGCAGGTCAAGAACAAGGAGTCGTACAACTCCCTGGTCAAGAAGTTGTACAACTCCCTGGCAGGCTTTACTGTTCGTAACAGACACACGGGCAGGCCGACTCACGATCACACAAGACTGGACTCCACGCAGCCTTCTGACCCGGTGAAGTCGGTGCTTGGCAGGTCATCGTGCTTTTACCATTACGGGTGGTGTACCCATCCTGGCAGATGGCGAGTGCTGTGGCACCGATGTCGGTCGATGTGTAGGAGAAGATACCACTATGGCCAGCGATCGAGGGTAGTCCACAGTCCTTCGTCCAATCTACATCAGAACAAGAGATATCGTAACTCAATCTAAATACGTTTCAACCAAAACAGACGCGTACACACAAACTAGCAGACACAATGTTTCTCTCTTTCTTCCTCTAATCATACTCCTCCTTTTCTTTCTCTTTTCTGTTTTCTCTCTCTCTCTCTCTCTCTCTCTGTCTCTCAAACATTTTAGTCTTCATCTACATTCTTCTCTCATTCACACACGCCTGCCTATGCACATGCATATAAGCGTGTACGTATGCACACGCACGCGCACGCACGCACACAAACACACAAACACACAAACCCTACGGAGCATTAGAAAATCTAATACTCGGTTCGATTGCGTGCAGGTCAAGATGAAGGACAGCACGGTAATTCAAATAAAAAGGAGGTTCAGCATGCAGCAATGCAGCAGCTGTGTTTTATCGACTCGAGCAAGTGATAGTTCTTTTCGAGCGTGAGATGAAAAATTGTGAGCCGTGCATTGGCTGTGGTTGTTGCGTTATAGCGAGAGTGCATAACTCTTGATCATAGCACTATAGCAAGCTGATTCCAGTTTAGTCAAAACGGAATAGCTGATACATGTATTTGCAGAGGTATATGGCTTCCAGTAGTACACTACAAAATTTAGGGGGTTCCACTGAACCCCTGAAACCTCTCCTGGATCCGCCCTTGCTTCTCTGTATACTGGAACGTGCAACCTGCATGCAAATCTACCTTTCTCTTGGTTGGTAGTTTGCAGCCGACCACAGCTCTAGTTTCAACTCTTTGAGTAGCTGTCGAAGATTCTCTAAAATCAATCCAAAATTCGACTGTCTAATACTCCGCACTATCTCTCCCTACTGCTAACTTACCAACTGTCATATCCTTGCCACAATCTGTTGAACAAACAGGCCAACAAGCACAGAAAAAACATGGAAAACTTTCAAACAGACATGAAATAGCAAGATATTGATCTGATGGATCGGTGGATAGTTGGCTGGGT